ATAAGAAGCTGACCAAAAAAACTTAAAGGGAAAAATTAGGGAATGAGATGCTCACAGTGGGCTTTGAAGACTCTGACATATTCTTGGAAATCTAGAAATCATGCTCATGGCAAGAAAAGACCTGAGAAGATTCTAAGCTCTCACCTCTGGGCAACCTTGAGGTTCTTTGCAGTCTAAGGCAGGTGTTATAAATCGCTGGACGTGTGAATAGCATTCCTCAACACACAGAGCTCCTTGGCAAAGGTCGGAAGACTTATTTTAAGAAAACCTGCCATATTAGTAGCTAACTGAACAGCGACTTCAGGGAACACATGACAAAAAATATAAACTTGACAAAATAAGTCAAGTCACTAAATTCACAAAATAAAACCAGAGCAGGCAAATCCATGGAGACAGCAAGTAGATTCGTGTGTGCCAGGTGCTAGAGGAAGAGGGAGCCACAGAATGACTGCAGATGGGCACAGGATTTCTTTTGGGGTTGATGAAAATGTTCTCAAATTAGATAGTGCTGATGATCATACAATATATTCAAATACATTATAAATATATTCAGAACTACTAAATTGTACCCTTTAAAAGGATGCATTTTATGGAATGTGAATTATATCTTATAAAAAAAAATGCTGAAATGAACATCCTTACGATTTGTCTCCTAGAGCACAAATTGTACAAATGTGTCTAAGTCTATGGACCCACAATCGGAGATGCTGGGTTGTAGGTTTTCGGTTTTGCTAGGACTTGACAAATTGTTCCAAAGTAGCTATATCCATTTATACTTTCTTCAGAGGCATGAGAAAGTTCCCGTTTCTTTCTACCTTCACCATTCTTTGAACTTAATAGATTTTAAAATGTCTACTTATTTTTAGTTATTATTTTATTTCTACTTATTTGTTGTGAAATGGCATTTCATTGGTTTGCATTTCTATGACTCCAAGGGGGATTAAGCGTCTTTTAATATTTATTGACCATTCAGTTTATTCTTCTGTGAATTTTCTGTTCATATCCTTTGCCCACCTTCGATGGGGCTGTTGGTTTGCAGAACTACCTTTCAGTGCTGGTAACACACGAACCAAAGTTTTCTCTCCTCGGTGGCAACAGGTAAGCACTGGAGGCCACCTGAGCATGTCACTGCTTTCTAGGCACAAACCACGTCTGTTCCAGAATGGAATCTTTGAAGTATGTGGTTGCCATGACAAGGGGCAACATTTCAAAGGATTCCTTTGGTTGATCGAGTACTTTACCTTTGGCTAAGAGGTAGAGCCTCTTCTCTGCCCTACGTCACCAACAACTACAGAAAAATTACACACACGTAAGTGACTTCTCTCCTATTGATCCTTCAGTCAGTCAAAGGCCCACCTTCTTTCTAGCCTTGACTACTTAGTGTTTGTTCCGTTAACAGAAAGAAGTATGGATGTATTAGAATTTATTTCACCGTGGGCCCTTTTCTAAAGCTTTTACCAGATTTACTGATTGGAAGAGTTTATCTTTGTTCATTAATCTCCTAACTTCAGGTCTATTTTCTCTCCCACCACCTGACTACATCCCTCCTGTCTTGCCGACAGACACCTTGAGCACCTATGTTAACACAGAGAAGTCTAAACCAACCAATGGTTGACACCCACAAACACTTGGTCTTCCTCCAACCACTCAAAGGTCTGAAATCAAACTCCCCTCTAGAGACCTTCCATTTTCCTCAATGAAATAAAAAAAATTCATCAAGTAGTGAAAAGCTCATGAGACTAAATAGTTTAAATATCAGTAAAAAATGTTGGTCACAATGTATGTATTAAAGTAAATCAAACACATGGAAAAACATTCAATAGGAAAAATTAGAAAGGGGGAGATTTTAGAGCTGTTCTATAATTTCTTCAGGTGTGTATGGAATCCTGTGAGAGTTTTTGACTGAATTCTGCCAACAACCTACATGACCTTGGGAGAAGACCTTGAGTATCAGATGAGAGAGCAGCCCATGACAACCACTTGAGTCCAGCCATGTGAGTCAATACTGCATCCTATCTATTTAAAATCATAAACAGAGCTTGAACTTCCGACCTACGGAAGCTGTCAAATAATAAATGGGAAGTTTTTAAGCTATTAAGTTTGTGGTAATTTGTTGCACAACAATAGAAAATTAATACAACCTATATACCATGTAACATAGTAGTAACAAAACTGATAAAGCAAAACTGTAGGAAAGTCGCTGGTTCATGTATTAATACAAAATACTCTTTTGCAGCATTAGTGTAGAAGACTGACTCACCTCTGTCGGCATGTCATCAAGAACTCATAAACCAAGTAAGAGTCCAAGAGTTAGTAGAGACAGAGGTAAGTATGTGTATATGTGTGTATGTGTGTGTGAGAGAGAGACCCACACATCAATCTCTATCCATGAAACAAAGATAGACATCTTTTTTTCTAATGCTCACAAAAAAGTATATTCATAAAGGATAACCATATATTAGGCTAGAAATTTCTGTATAAATCCAAAAATCTTGAAATCACAGAAATATTCTCTGATTACAATGCCAAAAAAAAAAAGTAGTAAGGAATTTATGAAACAAACACAAAAAATGACCTACTATTTTCCATCTAAACTATTCTACTTTAAAGAATTCTTGGGTCAAAGAGAAAGTTAATACAGAAATTAGAGAATATTGACAATACTACATCTTAGAACCTGTAACACACAACCAAAACGAGAGAAAGAGAAAAATCCAAAACCTTAACTACTTAGAATAATAAACTAGAAAGAATGAGCATAAACAGCCCAGCCAGTGTGGCTCGGTGGATTGAGTGTTGTCCTAGGGACTGAGAGGTTACCTAGTTCCATTTCCGGTCAGGGCACATGTCCAGGTTTGGGGCTTGATCACCAGTAGGGGGCGTGCAGGAGGCAGCCAATTGATGTTTCTCACATCAATGTTTCTATTTCTCTCTCCTTCCTCTCTCTCTAAAAAAGTCAGTAAAAACCATATTTTTAAAAAATGGTCATAAACAAAACAAACATACAAAACAAGAAGTGAGAACAAGAACAGGAAAATAAATCCAAAAAAGGCAGAAGTAAAGACAGCCTACATTAAAGAGGAAGCCGAATTCTTGAATTCCATAAGAAAAAAAATAGTAGGACTAACGAATGGATTAAAAAATCGGATACTTTCTCTTGAGGAGGACATTTTGCTTCTGTGATCTTTTTTTCCAAGACCCTGTATTCCCAGGCTAATCATGAGAAAAACACCAGATTAATGCAAATTGAGGGATATTCTACAAAATGCCTGACCAGTACTCTTCCACCTCTCAAGGTCATGACCCCAAAAAGACTGTAAAACAGCAACAGATCAGATCCAAGGAAATTAAGGAGACACGATGATCACCTGCCATGAGGGATTCTGGATTGGCTCCTGAAACAGGAAGAGGACACAGGCGGAAAAACTACTGCAACCCAAATAAATCCTATAGTGTAGTTAATAACACTGTTCCACTACTGACTTCTTAGTTTTGACAAATGTGCCCCGGGTAAGTGGGATGTTAACGTCACGGAGAACTGTCGGTGAGGGGCATATGAAAACTCTGTTCTAGCTTTGCGACTTTTCTGTAAATCTCAAATTATTCCAGATAATTAAACTAAGCAAAATAAGCCAGTCGGAGATAGATAAATATCACATAATCTCATTTATATGAACAAAATAAACTGATGAACAAAACAGGACCAGAGGCATGGATCACGGAACAGACTGAGAGACCTCAGGGGAGAGGGGATGGGGACTCGGAAGAGATCAGCCAAAGAACATATATGCATGTATGCGTAGCCCATGGACAGAGAGTAATGGGGTGAAGGCCTGGGGGGGGGGGCTGGGTACAGGAGAATAAAGGGGGGGATTGGGGACATCTATAATAATGTCAACAATTTTTAAAACAATCAGACATTATAAAAAATAAAAATATATATATTTTTAAAAGAATTATAAAAGTTCTAAAAAAAATCTAAATAAATTAAAATGAAAGACATAAAAATAATCACCAAAGTACTAGCTCCTCAAGGTTTTAGAAGGGGCTTTTACCAAACATATCAGTACTTAATGACTACAATTCAAATTAAATAATTTTGATAACAGAGAAATTTAAAAGGCACTCATATTCTTTCCCATGAAGTAAATATCTCAAAAATAATACAGTTTTTCTTTCCAGCTTTTTATTTTGATATTGCTAATCCTCACCCAAGGATATTTTTCCATTGATATTTTTAGATGAGAGTGGAAGAGAGGGGGAGGGGGGAGAGAGAAACATCAATGTGAGAGAGACACATGGATTGGTTGCCTCCTACACAACCCCAATGGGGGCTGGGATTGAACCTACAACCCACGTATGTGCCCTTGACCGGATATTGAACCTGAGACCCTTCGATCTCTGGGCTGACACTCTAACCACTGAGCAAACTGGCCAGGGCACCTTTCCAATTTTAATATACTTTTTTCCAATAACGGTGGATGGAATGTCCAGAAACGGCATATGACAGCAGTAATAAAGATCATCTTTGTTCTGTTCTTAAATGAGAATGCTTCTAATTATTTCCTTATTATAGCTGGTTCTGGCTTTTGTGTCTACATACCCCATTAAGAAATTAACTGCTTATCTATATTATTATGAATTGCAACCAGTAGATTCAAAACTTTACCAGAATTTTTTGCCTCAATAAAAATTATCATGAATTTTTTTTTTTAGCAATTAATGTTGAGAATTATATTATTGGTTTTCTTTTCTTGAACCATCTTTGCACGTTGGGAATAAATACCACTTGGTTCTAGTTCAGTATTCTTTTAATACGTTTCTGTGTCCTGTTTGCTAATCTCTTTGTTAAGTGCTGTCAGTAAGATTCCTAATGAATTTGTTTGAAGTTTCAGTATGTGTGTGGGGGTCTGTTGGGCTTGGCCATCAGGGTCATACTAGCTTCCGATTTGGGGACATGCCCCACTCAGTGATAAGATACTAAATGTACTTCCTTTTAACTGGTCTCCTTTTCTCCCTGACCAGTAAGCAATCTCCAGATTTTGCAGTCCGTTGTGAAATGGCACCACCTGGTAAGTTATAGACTGTAAGGACATTAATAGAACTAGAAACTCTTGTTGGGGGGGGACACGGGGCTGGGAGAATCCCTGTTCTTTCTCTCCATCACGAGGCTGTCGTAATTAATGCTTAAAAAACGTGTGTGGGAGAAAATAGCAGTTTGGTTGAACACTGTGTTTAGCGTGTTCCCTACAACGCCCTGTTCTTGCTCATCCTCTGCACCCCTGGAAATGACCTTCGATACTACTTCAAAAGGAGGCAAGTTGGACTTGGAATCCCACTGTGTGTCCACCCACCCTCTCGACAGGTCTGCTACAGTGTCTCATACCCTTCCCACCAAACGGCGTCCGATGTAATGAGCAACGGGAAGAGGACACGAAGTCACGCTGTGGGCAGACGAAATGTACATATTTCCCGATTCACAGCCACAACCCCAGAAAAATAAAGATGGGCGGAGCTGCGAGAGCGCGAACACCCCTTCCCACCCCAATAAGAGCAATAGCGGCATCGCATTTATATAGCGTGCGAGGCATGTTCTAAGGGCTCCGAAAAGTAACTCGTTTAATCCCCACAACAAACAGCCCTACAGGGTAAGAGCTACCATCACCCCACTTGGCAGAGGAGGAAACTGAGACAGGAGGTGATCTGCCCATGGTCACGTCACTACCAAGTGTCAGAGGCAGGACACAAACCCACGGAGTCTCGTTCCAGAGTCACTGATGTAAGCACCAAGCTATCCTACGGCAACCCTGAAACCAAGCATCCCGCCTGTCATGGGAGTGGAGGAAGGCCTGAAAATAATTATGAGACCGAAGATGTTCCATAAACAGGGTTCCGTACTAACAATAATGGCAACGCTGTTGTAGTAACTCGAAGATGGGGCAAATCCATAGGATCGAGTCGGTAAGGAAGACAGTGACTCGGGAGGGATCGCAGGGTCGGAGGCTGGCAGAACATTGGGACGGCAGCTACAGGAAAAACAGAACCGCTTTTCAGTCTTCTCAACCAAAAGCGTGGTACTCACTTTCCCAAACGTGCATATTCCTCCTCTGGGTGGATGCACAGGACCCCAGCACAGCTGCACACTGTAGGGTGGAAACAGGGGCACGGGAGCTGGTGGTGTCGGGGGGCTTGGAAACTTTGTCCTCCGTTTACCCATCTGTACATGTGTGTGCATTGCTTTCAAAAGTGTTTACATAGCCCTGGCTGGTTTGGCTCAGCGGTTGGAGCATCGGCCTGTGGACCAGAGAGTCCCGGGTTCGGTTCCCACTAGGGGCACGTACCAAAAAAAAAAGTCAATAAAAGTTTATTGAAAGAGAGGTGTCTATAGACAACCTAAGTTTCATCACTGGTCAAACAATGCATTTATATCTCAATTTGCAATACAAGGTCCAATAAAATCCAGAAGAACCACAATACTGAGCGTGTACAGTATAGTGACAAGGGTTGGGGGGCTTCTGCAGTATGGGAAATAATTTCAGTGATTTGGGGAATGGTGGGCACATTTATTCTGTGTGTGGCCTCCAGCTCTCTCCGTATCGGGCCTTTGCAAGGGTGGTGGGGACAGGACACCAGCAACAGTGTCACTGCGTTCGGTGAAACCCCGGCACCAACGGCGAGCCTCGCAGGGAAGGGCTCAGGATATCCGTGCCCCCGGCTCAGCTAGCTCCTCTCTCCGCACTTGCTGGCGTTTTGCTGTTGTCTAGATCCCAGTGATCTAGAGCTGAAGGGAAAAGTGAGGCGCACAGAGTCCTCGAGAGGACCGAGTCTGGCTCCCCTTGAGCATTCCCAGGATTCTTTGGGAATCATTAGAGGGGAGACCACATTACTCCGGATAACGAGGACGATGATAATCCCATTTCCCCCAGGCCAAGGTGGCATCAGAAACATGCATTATATGCATTTGCTTTGAAACATCTGAGGTTTAAAGGAACTAGTGAAATCGGCATGACTCCAATTTTTCTGGCCAAGAATGACAACAGATATGGAACGAAAATGTCAGTGCTATAAGATCTGCATAAAAAGCAGATGGTCAGCTCAGGAGAAAGCCAACATAATAAATCTGGACGCGCAAGGCCACCAGACTGGCCCTAAGTCCCGTGTTGTGAGATACGTTACAAGGTACAGATTCCCAGGACTGTGGCCGGTTTAGCATTGACTGTGGGCTCCAGTGAAGATTCACAGTGATCAGGGAGCAATTGAAAATGAGTTACAAGGGAACTTGGAGTAGAAGTCAAAGCCAGAATGACAACCACGCCTCCCAGAGGAAGCCCTGCGGGATTCCCAGGAACACTGGTGAGCATGTCGTCTATTCCGAGCAAGAACAAAAAACCTAACTGGGGAATGCAGGTGACGTTTCTGGCCAATCCCGACACATGACACCCCCTGAGAGCCCGTTTCCAGAAGCTCACGGACCCCCGTTGCTTACCGGTGCACGCTAGGGGTTTGCAGCCGTGACCGTCAGCGATGACAGGGCGCCATGAAGGCATGTGGACAAGGCAGGGACACGCGTGGGGCAGTCACTCAGCAAGAGATGTGACCTTCAGGGAAAGGGGGCAGAACAATAATCTGGTGGTGGAGTTCTAGTGACAACACGTGGCTCCCTGGAAAAATGAGACACTAGCCAGCGGATGGGAGGCGGAGGTCACGTTCCCCAGAGCTGAATGACCACAGCTCCAGTGTCCTGTGGGAGGGCACCGGAAGGCGCCTCCCTCACAGCTGTGTCAGGAAATGCGGTGACAGCACAGTGGTTGGCTGGGAGAGGCCAGCACCTGGTACTGTGGGTCTCGACTGCAGTTGCCTTGTTGCAACACTTCCATGAACGCTTGGGCTTCTATTCCAGTCCCATGTGGCCCCGTGATGCCTTGAGTCTCCCAGGTCTGTTATCCTAGATTCTTCTTTTCCCTGATACAGGAGCACAAGGCTGCCCACCTATGGGACGTATTTGCAGGCGTCTTAAATGACCAAGCCATAATCCTGTCTGTGAACTCCAGGTACGATAAGCTGTAGTTCTCTCTTATCTCACCGATCGACTACCTTTAAAATGCAATAGCGGTGAATCACAATGGTGAAGGAAAAAAAACGATTCCGAATTCCACCATCCTAATTCAACAAGTATTTCTTCCTTTCTCATGTCCTTTCCCCATCGTTCTGTGTTACCTGGGTAGGCAGACCATTTCATTCTTGCAGAGTCATGCGCAGATGGCACACTCATTTTTCCGTAATACTTTCGATGTGGGCATTTTGTCTTGTTTTTATTCTTCGTTGTAATCATATGGTTATTTTAACGGCGGTGGAGTACAGCCAAACTTTGGAATTTTCTAAATTACGTTTCACTAAAATTATGATAATCATCTTTGCACATGAAAGATTGTATCTTCTCTGAAATACTTCTTTGAAACATCACTCTGCGAGGGAGGGTACTGGTTCAGATGACAGGCAACCATGAAAATGTCCGGCTGCTGGGGTTCCTGATGGGTCAACGGCCCCAGAAAGTCGGCAGGCTGGATCCTCCCGGACCTTGGCTTCTGATGACCAGCATGGTGGGACAAAAACTCCAGTGGGCGACGTGGCTGGAGGAACCCCCATCAGCCTGCCCAAACCTTCCTTGGAACTTGTGGCCTAAGACTCTTCCTCTCCTAATCTCCCACCTCGCTCTCTCCTTCTCTTGGACACCTTGTGCCCTCTAACCCTTATTTTGGCCTCTGCTTCCCCTGAACTCCAATTGATGCAGATGGGACGGACCTTCTTAGGGCTTTTAACTAACACTGTCAATTTGTTGAAGAACTGCACTAGTCATGAATGCGTGTTCGAAACCTAGTCACCTACATGTACATATACCTTTTTCTATGTTGCTGATATAATCGGTTCAACTATTTGCCTCGTTTTTTAAAAATTCTTATCCCTTTCCATATAAGCAAGATTCAAGACTTTCCATGTTCATGCATGTACGAATTTTCTCACGTGGGAATTTTTTCATGTCCTTTGCCAGTATATTAGGATGTTAGTGGTGGTTTGGGTTTCATAAGCTGCTTGGGGTGTTTTTACTGTTTTTCAATGCGTTCCCCTTTTATCTCGCCAGCTTTGTGGATCCCCTTCTGCAGTTTGAAGCTCAGTTGAAGATAATAGAGGCGTCCTTTAAAATGGTATTTTCTATACCAAGCCTTGAAGAAGTGAAAGAAATGGGGAGCAGCAAAGGTGGCAAGGAGGACCTGGAGGTGAGAGTCGCTCCCTTTCATCGCGATGAGACACGGCCATGCACACAGCAGCCTTGCGCAGTGTCGCTCCACAGGTCACGACCTCGGTGACTTTCTCCTTGCTCTCCTTAGATACAGGAGACACAGCACTTCTCAGTACTACACCCCTGGACTGAGGAATTCTCAACCCAGTGGGATTTAATGGGTAGTATGGGTTTTATAGGAACAACTGGGTAAATGGATTTTTGGTTAACTGGTTAAGCGAGGACACGGAGTGTACTGGAAAGTTCTGCAAAGAAGGAAATGTGAGCAGAGAAAGGTGGAGGTGGGAAGATTCCCACAGTGAGATCAGCAATGTGTGTGGTCTCTGTTCCCTCAGCCTAGCTTCCCAGGGCACCGGCCAGGGGGTGCAGAGGAAACACATGGCATATGGCACATGGCTCTCATCACCATAGCTACTGCCCCCCTTCCTACCTGCAGTTTCTGGGAAGAACTCAGGACACAGGATGCAAAACTATAGACAATGGGGTAAAGGCCTATGGAAGGCTGGCTGGCTGGTTGTACAACATTTTTTTTGTGTTTCAGGAATTATACCAAAGTATTTTAAACATATATGAGGACACTCTTCTGATCTTAGTGTCTAAGGACATCTACAAACTGCAGATCTTAAAGGTACAGTAAAGGGAAAATGAGCACTTCTGATTTTGTGTTGCAAATCTGGTGGCTGAAAAAATTTTTTTCTCCCAGGGTGTGCAAGTATCTTCCAAGTGAAATCACTTCCCTTTATTTGAATTACAGAGACACCCTTTTAAGAATTCAGTTTGGGGAGGATGGCGTGACCAAACACTTGGGAAGGCAAGTGCTGTGTGGCAATGTAAGAGATCCCCACAGGGGGCGGCAGAGAGCCAGGTGATCAGCCTGCACTCTGTTCAGGTCCACAGAACCGTGAGCCTTGCCTGACAGGGTCTGTATTCACCCTATTCCCTAACAACTCTGGGGCTAGGGAGTGCGTGAGCATCCTATCGTCATGGATACCGTGGCACGGCAGGAAACCCTAACAATTACCCCAAACCCACTTTCACATCCGAGACCTCGCTCACTGTGTCTTCAAGGTCCCAGTCAGGGACAGAAGACTTCGCTGGCTAGCTCAGGGTCTTTAATTTTGCAATCCCTACATGAAGGCATGAGAGGAGGTAGCAGTCTGGAGATACTACACAACCATGTGAAGTTACTCCACCAGGAGCACCTGTGGGTCGTCCGAATCATAAAACACACGGAAGGAAAGAAGCAGAATCGGTACCTATGAGGCCAAGACGGACTGTGGAGGAAGTGAAATAATTGAGTTAACTGGTACCTAATTCGAGCCAAATGTTTTCTGCACATTTTTAAAATTTCGACTTCACAACTTGCTCAAGTATCATTCTTGCTCCATGATTACAGCCCTCTCCCCAGGCTGCTCTCGCACCCCTGACCCCCCAAGCTGAGTGCTGAGCAGGTCCCCTGTGACTCTGAGCTGAGTACTTCCCACATGGGCTCTCTCATTTGATGCTAACATAACCCTGCGAGGCCCCAGCCAGTTCGGCTCAGCAGTTAGAGCATCGGATTCCCGGGCAAGGGCATGTACCTGAGTTGCAGGTTTGATCCCCAGCCCTGGCAACCAATCACTGTGTCTCTCTCACATCAGTTTCTCTCTCTCTCTCTCTCTCTCTCTCTCTCTCTCTCTCCTTTCCTTCCACTCGATCTAAAAACACCAATGAAAAGATATTCTCAGGTGAGGATTAACACAAACATTAAACATTTTAGCGATATTAAAGAATAGTGATGAAGTTACCATTGTTTCTCCCAGTTAGCAGCTCCTCGGGCTTGGGAGCCTGTTACTTACCCATCTCACACCTTCCACGTCTAGAAACTCCCCCGGTTCTCAGAAAGTGCTGCCTCACCCCTGGGAACGGAGAGGCTGGCCCCCCGGAAACAGACGCGCTGCCCTAGGAAATGAGCCCCAGAACAGGTGCACGCGGTGGGAGCAAGGGGAGGGGACACGGGCCAACCACTGGCATGAATGCGGTGGGGCCACAGGCTGCCCCGAGAAGGGTTAATAGCGACAGGCCTGGGAAGCAGGGGCAGGGGTCCTTCCCTTCCCAAGGTCCCCTGAGGATGCAGGACAAACAGAGGTTACAGCAGGACGGCCTGGAACCCAGATCCGCGAGCCCGTTTCCACTGGGCGGCCCGCCAGGACCGCACGCAGCAACCACGCGCCAGGAAATCCCTGGGCGGTGAATCCGGAAAGAACATTCTAGGACGAGGTGACATTTCAGGATCAGATAATAGTTCAATTCTTTAAAAACTGAAAACCGGGCCCTGTGATTTTTTAAAAAGAGAAAGAGAGAGAGAGAGAGAGAGAGAGAGAGAGAGAGAGAGAGAGCGAGCCCTGGCCGGTTTGGCTCAGCGGTTAGAGCATCGGCCTGTGGTCCAGAGAGACCCGGGTTCGGTTCCCGCTAAGGGCACGTACCTCAGTTGCAGTTTGTCCCCGGCCCTGGTCGGTCGTGCGGGTGGCAGCCACTCGATGTGTGCCTTTCACGTCGATGTTTCTCTCCCTCTCTCTGTTCCTCTCTCTCCCTCCCGCTCTCTCGGAACAGAAAATGGAAAAATGTCCTCGGGTGAGGATTAAAAGAGGGCGAAAGAGAGAGAGGGAGAGAGAGAGAGAGAGAGGGAGAGAGAGAGAGAGAGAGGGAGAGAGAGAGAGGGAGAGAATGTGTATTTTGAAAGAAAAGGAACAGAAGCCACCAAGGAGCCGCGTGGCCGCGGGTTCAACCTCAGGACACCTGCCACGTGCGTGTTGGAGCGGATGCTGGTAAACTTGTCGGGTAGAATCAATGAAACAACACGCAGGTGTAACCACTGTAGTAGAAGGAGTGTCCCGGTAGGTAGTAGTATCCTGGCTGGTTGTTGTGTTTTAAATAAATACAGGTTAGGTGAGAAATCATCAGAGACCGAGGGGACCCTTGGCGTGGCGAAGCTGCCGCTGTTTCCGAAACGGAAGCCCCGTGCTTCCAGCGTGGCTCTTGTGGCTTCCCGCAGGAAATGGCCGTGTGGATGAGCGAGGACAGCTCGTACCAGCAGGAGAGAGTCATGGTGATCATCACCAGGGTGCTGAACTTCGCGTCCAGGAAAGTCCGGGGACACGTAAGTCATGGCGCGCGGCCTGGCCACCTGCTTCTGGGCTGCGTGTGCGCACTGCGCGGTCCCCACACCTGGGTCCCGAGAGCATCGGGTGCCAGCTGGGACGGCTGTGCCCGTCGGTGGGTGTCGGGAACGCAGCCGGTAGCCCGCGTGCCTGTCAGTCAGCAGAATTGCTCAGACGACAACGCCTCGCGCTTTCCCCCGACGGCAAGAGTGTGTCCGAACCCGCTGTTTCCTTCCTGTCTTCATCCTCCTCTGTAGACCGCAGTCGGTGTTATCTGTAACCTTCGAAAGTCTTCCATCTTTCCTTTCCTTCTTATTTCTCCTTTTTCTATCATCTTTTTAAACCGCTCTTTGTGTTGAATGTATACAAGTGATTCTCAGGTACTTTCCTTCAAACATGCTGGAGGTAGAGCCAAAGTCTTCCTTTACGGCTCTCTGCACCCCAATCCCTGCTCCTGCCCAGCACCCTTCAGACAGATCCACCAGGCACACAAGGGACACACAGCTTCGTTCCCTAGCTTCGCTAAAGTCACATCACGCTTACCTACGGTTCTGCAAGTTGCTTTATTTTTTTCAAAAACATTATGTCCTACAGATATTTTCATAGATTTATTTCATTCTTTTAACCACAGCATGTATTCCATACCTTTAATATGTTATACCCTATTTAACTGTTCTTTAGCCGATAGACTGGATAGTTTGGTATATTCTGTGTGTGGCTTTTTTTCCTATTTCAAACAATACCAACAAAACAGTCATCTTTGCAAGTACGTGGGTATGTATAAAAGCTTAGAAAGATAATAAATCGAAAAGTAGGAATGGATTGAAGGTGAGTCACACACACGGGCCCCCCCGTTTGCATTCCTCGAACATCAGAGAGCCCATTTCCTCACAGCTTCACAAACATGGGGTGTCACCAGACCTCCCCATTGCTGCCTTTCAGACGGAGAAGGGACAGGTGTCTCGGAACTGCCGACATTTCTGGGGCTTCTCTGTTGAGAGCTCACTGCCTGCCTTTTATACTATCTGTGGCCACGTCTCACTCTTGGGGGTGCTCAGTCTCTCTCGGTGGTCACCGTCCCCTGCACACGTGAGAGAATGAACGTGTGAATTCACACGTGAGCAGAGGCTCTCATGCACTGCTGAGGGTTCCTAGCCTGGACTGCGATCGGCCTGCGTGGACAGAACCACCGCTCTGTTCTGCAATGTCTGCTCCAGGCCACCAGGTGGAAGCAGACCAGCGTTTCCAGGGAAACCAGGAGCTCATCATCCCAGAAGCATCAAACTTGACTAACTTAACTTTCTCTTTAAACAATGTCTTCTACAGATGGCTACGCCAATGAAATTAATGGGGGTGGGTAAATACGTCTATAAAATAACCAAAATGTCACTGATAAATATTTAAACTATTTTAATGAATTAAACGCTGAGCAGCCCACACGCTTGAACTTTGTACCTCCATGACACGAAATCCATGAAGATGGGTTCTGCCCTTCTCTAACTGAAATAACTATCAATTCTGTCCTCGGGAGTAGCCACCTAACCCCTAACCGCTCCATTCACTGACTAAAGACTTTTTCTTCATAAATTACTCTAGCCTGTGCCTTCCAGAGTCTGAGGCTCGGGTCCTACTGAACAATCCTGCCCCATTCATACTCTTTCAGGAATATGCTTCCTCTTACATGACCTATGTGCCCATCTGGATGAAACAAAAAACAAAAACACTGCTACAATCAGAGAATGTTTGTCCCTTCAATTAAACTATTAAAAACATGGGAACTAAACATGTCATCTTAAAGCATTGAAAGAGAGTTTTCCTCGGTCTGTTCTTTTGGCACCGGGGAATCTAAAAAAATGGGAGGAAGATTCCCAAAGTTAACAGACGGGCACATGCCTTTGCCTCCTCCCTCCGGAGTCCTCCCACAGTGATAGTCATGGCATTGGTGGGAGGTGCCAAGCCCCAGCCCCAGGGAACGAGCGGAGGGTTCTCAGTGGGCAAGCAGTGTCTACACACTTCTGGATGAGAGAAGGGACCCGATGGGAGCGGATAGAGACTGAGCGGCCAGGGCACAGGAACTTGGGGTGGGGGACACTGCAAAGCAAGGCAGTGTGCCCTGTGGAACCCCAGAGGGGCTGGAGCTATGGAGCCCAGGTCGTGATGATGGGTGGGAGGCAGAGGAAGGCTGGAAACATGCATGAACTAAAGGATGCAATGCAGGTTCATGCAGAAGACTCTAGATTGCTCCCCTCCTCCTTGACCCACACACTCTATTCCGAGGGGACAGGAGCCCACTGGCAGGCAAAAGCTGAGAAAATTTTTTTCTCAAAACAATCATCAGTTCCCCAAGAAAAGTATCTTGATTCTGCTGTTTAGATCTACATGACCCCATCTCTCCACCTCATCATTCTAAAGTGAAGCCCCGTTGACAAGCTTGCTCAGGTGGAAAACCCCACCAAGAGAAAACCCCACGGTCTTCCACATGACCAGACAACCAAGACCTGCCAGCAACTCCCCAAACACGAGAGACCAACCAGCGTGAAGGGAAGACACGGCGATCGGAATAGACCATCGGTGCAGATGGTAACTTAGGCTCAGAAAGAGTCGATGAGACGTGTGTGTGACTCCTAAAACAGGGACAATCCCAAGGCATCCAAGAAGCAAGAGTTTATCTTCCCTCCTTCCTCTGAGATCATCATTCTCAGCATGCTAGTTCAGTTATGCTCTTAGTAATGAGCCAGCCACTTCACATTCTCCTTCAGACTGTGTGTAAGAGAGAGAGAGAGAGAGAGAGAGAGAGAGAGAGAGAGAGAGAGAGAGAGAGAAGGGTAAATGGGGGGGTGAGGTATGGGTAAGTCAAGCAACATGAGAGGCAGGGCTAAGGATGCATGAGAGAGGGAGAAAGAAGGAGAAAGAGGCCTCGGGGTCCCCCTGGAGGGCTGACTTGGACTCTACTTTTACCACCACCATTTGCTCCAATCATCAAAGCATTTATCTAGGAAAACTAGCCACTGTCTTAGAGACAGGAAGATTCTGCAGGCCCACTAGCTTATCAAACCCACATGTGGACACAGCCCTTTAAAAACAAAACAAACCATAACAGAAACACATCGGTGACGGTACTTACACCTTCGCGAAAACAAAATGTCTCTTCCACTCTCCTCTCCTCTTTTACGTCTCCACCCCCTCCTCCTCTGTTTGCATTTGATCAGGCCAGACAGATCAGTCGAGATGGAAATCTAAAGAGTGGGGCAGGCTATGTGTGCAAGAAGTTGCAGGGAACGATACATACGTGTTGTGGTCGTAGCTTTGACATCAGAAGTAAATGCTCTGGGTTTAGAAAATGAATTGCCCTGGGAAAAATCAGAGTCCTTTCAGAAGGAAAAGCCACATTTCTCCAGTGGCTGTCAGAGTCATCTGAAGCTTCCCATGCAGGGAGACGGGAGCGTGAGAGGGTTCGGATATCGGACCCTCAGACTCCCCCCAAGTATCCTGGGAATTGGCTACCTGCAAATTGCTACCTGGTTTATGAAATACAAACTAACAGGGACCCAACAAGTGAGTCACCGTTATCTCTGGGCACTTTGCTACAAATTGTCCTTTTTGTCATCCATGGTACCGCCTGAGTCTCCACAATGAGTGTTATAAGTTAGCATTGGTTATGTGCGTGTCCTAGATGAGAAAACTAAAGCTCAGTGAAAGAGCCCAGATGGGAACACAGATCGGTGGACTCTGAAGCTCACCCTCTTCTGTAGATACGTTAGAGGTTGAGGTGCAGACATTTAATATTGACTCTGCACAGCAGTACATCTGTCTCCTTTGTTTTCCACCAGGCGACGGTGGACGCTCCGTGTCTGGGGTTCCTAGCAGCAGAACTGTCCCTTTTGTGTTCCCACACTGACCCGGCCATCACACAGCAAGCGTCTTTGGGGATCTATTACCTCCTCTGCATTGCAAAGTGCCAGAAGGGTAAGAAAGAGTCACCATCTTTTCTCAGAGTTCCTAAGAGTCCGTTACCAAGATCGGAACAAAACCCTATAAAAATAGAAAGGAGAAAAACAATAAGAGAACAGCAGATTCTTTGAGAAGGTCAGGAGGGACATTAGAGAGAAGACACAAATCACCAGTATCAGGAATGACAGAGATGATGTCACTAGAAATTGTATGGGTATTGTAAGAATAATAAGGGATATTATGAACAACTTTATGCCAGTGAATTTAACAACGTAGATTCATTCGTTGAAAACACAAATTACCAAAGCTCACTCAAGAAGGAACGAATAACCTGAATATTCTACATCTTTCAAAGAAAATGAATTTCTAGTTAAAAGCCTTCTTACAAAGAACACTCCAGACACACAAAGCAAACTCCAGCAAATATCCAAGGAAGAATATACCAATTCTATACAAATTCATGCAGAAATGGGAGGATGAGGGAACACTTACCAACTCATTTCATGAGGCTGGCATTATTCTTATACCAAAAGCACATAAAGACATTACAAGGGGGAAAAAAAAAGCACTACAGACCAACATCTCTCAAAAACACAGATGCAAAATTTTCGACAAGTTTAGCAAATCAAATACTACGATACATAAAAAGAATAATAAACCATGACCATATAAAATTTATCCCAGGAATGAAATATCAATTTTGCATTTGAAAATCAACCAGTGTAACATCCTATATATATTTTTTAAGAAAGTTTTAAACTTTTTTTCTTTATTGATTTGAGAGAGAGAAGAAGGAAGAAAGAGAGAGAGAGAGAGTGAAATCAATGAGAGAGAATATCAATTGGCTGCCTCCTGCATGCCCCCCACTGGGGATCAGGCCCACAACCTAGGCATGTCCCTTGACTGGGAATCGAACCGGTGACCTCTTGGTGCATGGGTCAGTGCTCAACCACTGAGCCACACCAGCTGGGTGTAATACCCTATATTAACAGATGAAAAAAAAAATAACTAGATAACTATTTCAGTAGGTACAGAAAAAGCATTTGACAAAATTCAACATCCATTTCTGATAAAATAATAATAATAATAATAATAATAATAATAAACAACTCTCAGAAAACTAGGAATAAAAAGAAAGCTTCCTCTACCTGCTAAAGTACATCTATGAGAAACCTACAGCTAACATTATACTTAACAGTGAAATACCAAATGATTTCCCCAAAAGAACAGGAAAAAGACACGGATGTGACTGTCATCCCGTCTATTCAACATGGTACTAAACAGAGTCCAGAAATAGACCCACATACACATGGTCAAATGAATTTTGACCAAGTTTCAAAGTTATTTTAATTCAGTGGAGAAAAGATAAATTTTAATAAATAGTATCTAAAAAATGGGTTATTTGTAGGCAAAAAGATACTTTTTTTTTCAGTAATACTAGCTTTTTAAAAAATGTATCTTTATTGCCCAGTCGGTGTGACTCAGTAGTTGAGCATCGGCCAAGAGGTTGCTGGTTCGATTCTCGGTCAGGACACACGCCCAGGTTATGGGCCAGATCCCCAGTGGGGGGCATGCAGGAGGCGGCCAATCAATGTTCCCTCTTGATATCTCTATCTATCTTCTTCTCCCTTCCCCTCTCTCTAAAATCAATAAAGAAAAAAATTGTATCTTTATTGTTGAAAGTATTACAGATAATCCCCCCCCACTGACCTCCTCTACCCTGCTCCCGCCCCACCCCCATACCTGCACCACAGTACTGTCTGTGTCCACTGGTTGTGCATATATACAGATCAGTTCTTTGGTTTATCTTTTCCCGACCCCACCCCCCACTCCCTTCCCTCTGAGGTTCCTCATTCTGTTCCCTGCTTCCATGTCTCTGGATCTATTCTGTTCATCAGTTTATTTTGTTCATCAGATTCCACGTATAAGTGAGATCATTTCATACATGTACAAAAGCTAATTCAAAGTGGATCATGGTGCTAAATGTAAAACTTAAAACTATGAAACTAGAAGAAATCTTTGTACTTGGATTAGGCAAGGATTTCTCAAATATACCACCAAAAACATGACTCATGAATGAGAAGAAAATGATAAATTAAATGTTTCCGCTCTTTGAAAGACACTGTGAAGAGAATAGCTAAGCAACAGACTGGGAGAAAATATTACCAAGTCATAGATCTGATAAAAGACTTGGACCCAGAATTTAAAAAGAACGCTTGAAACCCAGTAAGAAAACAGACGGCCGAATTTAAGAAATAATAGATTTGAACAGTCATTTCACCAACGAAGCATGAATGGCAAGAAAGTACATCAAACCATGTTCAATATATAGTAAAAAAAAAAAAAAAAAAGTACATTAAAGCTGCCCTGAGATGCTGCCGCACACCCATTAGAAGGCCTGGAATTGGAGACTGACCACACCACATGTTTCTGCAGGCACGAGGCACGGGACCCTTTCACGTGACTGCAGGAAACGTGGAAGGACACAAGTCTGGGAAATCACTGGCAGTATGCTAAAGGTTAAATACACATCTACCATGTGACCATGTGACCCCGTCATTCCGCAACTTAGTATTAGAGAAATAAAAACAAATATTTGTAAAAAGACTTGCACATCAATGTGGATAGCACCTTTATCTGTAATAGTCAAAAACTGAAAACAACCCAAATGACCATCGGTCAGCAGGTGAGCAGATAAACAGACAATGGTATATACGTGCAATGAAATAGCATTCAGTAGAGAGGAATGAACTGTTGATACAAGCAACAGCATGGATGAATCGCAAATAATTTTGCCAAGCAAAAGATGCTAAATGACAAAAGAGTACATGCCAGGTAATTCCACTTACATGAAACTCGAAAATGCAAGCTTAGCAGAGAGCGGGTCAACAGTTGCCCTTGGGTCAGGGGGTGGTCCAGGGAGCAGGTGTCAGGGGTTCCCAAAGAGCACAAGAAAACTTTTGGAGGCCGTGACTATGCTGTTTCGCTTTATTGTGGTAATGTGTTCATGAATATACACATAAAAAATTTACCAAGTTGTAGGCTTTAAATACGTTGTGTGTCGATTGTATCTCTATAAAGCTGTTAATAAACAACATCATTTGGCAAAGCAGCAGGATACAAAATTAACATCAAGAAATTGAAAGCATTCTTATACACCAATGATGAACTCACAGAGAAACTAAAATAACAATCCTATTTACCACTGTAGAAAAAAAAAAAAAGATACCTAGGAATAAACTTAACCAAAGAAGTAAAGGACCTGTTCTCAGAAATCTACAGGACATTGAAAAAAGAAATAGAGGAAGGCCCTGGCCAGTTTGGCTCAGCAGTTGGAGTGTCGGCCTGCAAACCAGAGAGTCCCGGGTTCGGTTCTCGCTGAGGGCACGTGCCTCGGCTGTAGTTTGTCCCCGGCCCCAGTTGGGGTCATGTGAGTGGCAACCACTCGATGTGTCTCTCTCGCATCGATGTTTCTCTCTCTTTCTTCCCCTCTCTCTTCCCCCCTCTCTCCTGCTCTATCTGAAGATAGGTGCAAAAGATGTCCTCGAGTAAGGATTAAAAAAAAAAAGAAAGAAATAGAGGAAGATATAAAAAAGTTAAAGCATATACTTTGTTTATAGATTGGAAGAATTAACACGATTAAAATGTCCATACTACCCAAAGCAATCTATGAATTTAATATAATCCCCATTAAAATACCAATGACATATTTCATGGAACTAGATCAAATACTCCAAAAGTTTATATGGAACCAAAAAAGACCCCGAATAGCCACAGCAATCTTGAAAAAGAACAAAGTAGGAGGGATCACATTTTCACTGATACAATGCCTAAGGCAAGAGAAACAAAGGGAAAAAAAATGAATAAATGGGACTATGTCAAACTTCTGCACAGCAAAAGGAACAAGCATCAAAATGGAAAAGGAACCCACTATATAGGAGAGCATAACTGCCAATGATACATCAGATAAGGAGCTAATTTCCAAAATATAGAGTACTCATACAACTCAACAAAAGGAAGACAAAGAACCCAATTAAAAAAATGGCAGAGGACCTAAATAGACACCTCTTCAAATAGGACATACAAATGGCCGAGAGACATGAAAAAATGTTCAACATCACTAATCGTCAGAGAGATGCAAATTAAAACAACTATGAGGTATCACCTCACACCTGTCAGAATGGCTGCCATCAGTAAATCATCAAACAACAAGTGCTGGCGAGGGTGTGGAGAAAAGGGGACTCTAGTACCCTGCTGGTGGGAATGCAGACTGGTGCAGCCACCATGGAAAACAATATGGTGTTTTCTCAAAAAATTAAAAATGGAGCTGCCATTTGACCCAGTGATCCCACTTCTAGGAATATACCCTAAGAAGCCTGAAACACCAATCGGAAAGAATATATGTACCCCTATGTTCATAGCAGCACTATTTACAATTGCTAAGATCTGGAAACAGCCCAAGTGTCCATCAGTAGACAAATGGATAAAAAAGCTGTGGTACATATACACAATGGAGTACTATGCAGCTGTAAGAAAGAAAGGTCTCTTATCCCTTGAGATGACTGAGAGGGGCCTGGAGAGTATTATGCTAAGCGAAATAAGTCACTCAGAGAAAGACAAATATCACATGATCTCACTTATCTGTGGAATATAATAAACAATACAAGCAGATGAACAAAACAGACCCAGAGACATAGAAGTAGAGTACAGACTGACAAACCTCAGAAGAGGGGGATGGGAAGAAAAGAAATAAACCACAGAACTTATATGCATGTCTGCGTAACCAATGAACATAGACAACAATGCTCAGGGAGAGGTGGGTGGGATTGGGAGGAGGGTGTCAAAGCGGGAAAAAGGAGAAACAGCTGTACCAACAATAAATGAATGAAAATTGCAAAAATTAAAAAAAAAAAAATCATTTTAAACCCCACCTGCTCTGGCACTAACGACATCTGCACCTGAGGCTTTGGTTGAGTGCTCTGGCTTTCTGGGACACCACCCCCTAGCCCACCAGCCTCCCAACCCCCCAGCTCCCCAACCCCCCAGCCGCCCAGCCCTGGCAAAATGCCTTCAAGTCCACTCTTCTACCAACAGGCACCCCAGTAACAATGCATCTGATGCCTGAGTGCATTGACAGCTGGTCAACCTAGGAAAATGATCTACTCTTCATGCACATGTTACCGAGGCCTCTCTGAAACGCTTTATGAATTCTGGGTCAGCGCAGGCATAGAAGTGTATGTGATGAAACTATCCCCAGGCCGTTCAGGGGTCAGAAAACTTCAGCTCTCCAGAACTGGAGAAATCGGAAAGAGCAATGGCATGGAAGGGACCAGTAATCAAATGTCAAACAAAAGACCTCAAACTCTTTTCTTTAACACTATAGATACTGGAGCAAATAAAATTGCAAAGTGTGACAAGTGTGGAAGCCGCTGTTACCTGCCTTCACCCTCCGCTATCGAATTCCTACCCAGCATCTTGCAAGGAGAAAAATCCAAAATCGCTCAGGTAACTTAGCCCCCGCTTCTTCTTACGGCTTTTGTTGCATGTGTGTTATTGTTTTCTATGGCCACAAAATTTATATTTTAATAGTCTTTTAAATCCTCACCGAGGATATTTTCCCACTGATTTTTAGATAGAATGGACGGGAGAGGGGGAAAGAGAGAGAGAGAGAGAAGCATCGATGTGAGAGAGACACATTGATTGGTTGTCTCCAGCACAACCCTGACCAGGGCCAGGGACCTAACCTGCAACCCAGGTACGTGCCCTTGACCAGGAATCAAACCCTCAACCCTTCGGTCCGAGGGCCAATGCTCTAACTACTGAGCAAAACCGGCCAGGGCAATATTTTATTTTATATATATGGACTAAACACAAGAAATACACATACATAGGGAAACAATGTGGCTCATTCATCTGTCTTAACTGAGAAATGTATACACATGTAACTTTGTTCACATTTCATGGCCCATGGTCCGTGGACAGCCCTCTCACTTGAGAAAGGAATCGTTTGCACTGTGTTTTGTGTACCTCGGTCACGGACTCTTTCTTCTCTTCCTGACTCTTGGGCCTTCTCTGGGAGAGAAAAGGCCACACCCCTTCTGGCCCCGCCCTCTTCTGCATCTCCTACTAACAGGCTTGTCGCCAATCTGAGCAAAGCCATTTCCAAAGCTGGAGAAGTCGATAATGATTTCTAATATCTGAGTAGCTCAGTTGGGGTAAAAATCAATATTTTATATTTCCTCTTCATTTGAATGCCGTGGTTTGCTACTTCTCCTGGGCCTGCCCCCGAGCTGACTTACCCAGAGGAGAATATTGTAATTGCTTTAAAAATCAGAAAAAAAGCCCTGGCCGGTTTGGCTCAGCGGTTAGAGCGTCAGCCTGTGGTCCACAGAGACCCGGGTTCGGTTCCTGCTAAGGAAACTGTACCTTGGCTGCAGTTTGTCCCCGGCCCTGGTTGGGTCGTGTGGGTGGCGGCCACTCGATGTGTCCCTTTCACATCGATGTTTCTCTCTCTTCCTCTCTCTCCTTCCCGCTCTATCTGAGTAAAAAATGGAAAAATGTCCTCGGGTGAGGATAAAAATAAATAAATAAATAAATAAATAAATAAATAAATAAACAAACAAATAAATAAAAATCAGGAAAATAGATACATAAAAATAAATAAATAAATTAGCTTGAATTAGAGTCCCCGTCATACCAACACAGTTGTAAATGGTAACCTTTAACCTTTCGTAATGGAGGGAGAGGTCCGCACAGCACAAGTGCCTGGCCCAGGAGCTCCCCTGTGCTGTCCCAGGTTAGGCTGATGGAGGTGAGGCTGGAGGTCACGGCTCGCTCTTTTGGTTTCAGAGTATCGGACAAGCCTTAATGCCATCCTTGCTGACCGACTTTGTGTGGAGTCTCTTTCTGAGAGTCAGTTCACCTCACCAGGCTTTTGCAAAGGAGGCGGCCGCTATACTGAAACTGACGCTGGAGTCCCACGCCTACAAGGTCACCACGGTGAGATCCATGACAGTGAGCAGGGGAGCCCAGGACTCACCCTCGAAAGAGTTCCTGTCGCCTGTGTTCTGTATCGACTTCTCTGCATATCTAGTTCTTGCCGTGGCATCATTGTGTCAGTGATTAAGTGAGGCTTTTTTTGTGAAACATTTCAAGCACACCAAAAAGTGCAGAAAATAATGTAATGAACATGTCACCCACCAATCACACCCACACATAATGTTTTCCGGGATTTGCTTCGAAATGTTTAAAGAAATACATGAAATACATGAATAACAATGAAATAGCACAGCTATCATTCAAAAACCTCCTCTAGCCATTAAGGGAAGTCCTCGAGGCCGTTCAGCTTTGGGGCTGGCTGCCGGGCAAAATGAAAGGTGGGACTCCTCATTCAAAACAAAGTACCGCTCAGTGTCCAAACGTTTGAGGTTCTTCCTTTTTCTCCTCTCTCTCTCTCTCTCTCTCTCTCTCTCTCTCTCTTCTCTCTCTCTCAATTTCTCATGGTGTTTTTATTTTCCATTTAAAGACTCTCTAAGTAAAAAACAACTAAAGTTTTTAAACTATTAGCATGAATGTCACCATCCATCATTATATTGTGCAAGGCCAGCTATGGATGTAAATATAAGAGCATTTAACTCAACAAAATGATGCAATGCATAGCTTTTACGTGCACGCTTTTCATTCCTCCCAGAAGAGTGGCGATACTACCCCAAACTTGGTTGTTTTTATTTCACTTCTTGTCATTCGCACATTCTCTATCTTCGGCTTACTGACGAGGAAGAAAAGACGGAAAGGGAAGGGTCTATGGGTTCCCAGTCTTCCTCTCTCCTTCTGTGCTATCACTTTCAGCCTAAGTGCTTCTCTTTTACTTGTCTTGATTTTCCCACCGAACCCCTACCTCTCACGGGCTCCCTGGAATTCTGTGCACAGGAACCACGGCTGGCTCCCGTGTCACACCGTCTCCTCTGCTCACACGCATGCTCCCTTGTCCCATGGGATGTCACTTACAAAACACAAGCTCAAAGACGAAACCACTAAAAACATCAAGATGCCAATAGCTGAGCTTTCAGTAAAGTGAGGGACCTTCTGAGGGGGGACCCTGTGCAGAGGCACAGGCACATGCCCATGGATGGTGACTTGAGGGCGGCCGTTCAGGACCTTCTCCTGACTGCAGTGTTATGTGCTGGACATAAACTAGCGCTCGGGCTCAGGAGCCGAGAACCGGAGCGGGGAAGTGAAGCTTCTCGTGGGTCTGTCTCCCCAGGCGGCCACACGGGGCTTTCTGGGAGGAGCACATGGCACCAGGGAAGTGCTCAAGGGCAAGTCATCTCCTTGAGAAAACCAAGTTCTCCTCTCGTGCAGGGAGACAGGGGGGCGAGGTAAAGCCACGCACGTCCCTGGAGAGGAAAAGGAGGCAAAGCAGCCGACAGTGGAGCAAACTCATTAAACGGCGAAAAAAAACCTCAGCGACGGGGGTCAGCAACTCAACGCCCCATCCCGGCTCCCACACACAATTGAACTACTGAATGCAGTGGGCTCTTCTCTCAAACAGGGTTCGGTTCTGAAATCAGTTATACTGAAAAGTTGTGTGTGGCTAAAATAATCCCATAAAATCCCCTAAACGGCACAGGGAGCATGTGGCCTCACCGTCTCCGCACAGAGCTAACACGGGAGGTCTTCCCTTGAGGATGAAAGCAGGCAGGACATCGCTGCTACACCTGGGCAGCAGGGACATAGCTGGCTTGTTCAGGGGCATGCTGCCTTCTAGGAAGGGGGGGTTCTAAACCCAGTAGTTAATACAGTGATACCTCAGTTCTCGAACGCCTCGGTTTTCGACCAAATCGGGATTCGAGAAACTTTTGTCTCGGAATCCGAACAAATATTTGGAACTCGAACTTCCGAGATGAGCCGAGTTGAGCCGAATGGCGTTCATTCGGCCCAGTGCGCCTTGCTCGCGTCATCAGTGTGAGTGCAGAGAGAGAGTCACGCTTTGTGGAGTCACGCTTTCCTATTGGGTTTCATTGCTTCGGTTCTCGAACAATTCGGTTCTCGACCGTCCTCCTGGAACGAATTATGTTCGAGAACCGAGGTATCACTGTAGTTATGGAGAAGAATAACGGGTTAGTATCTCCCACTTCAAGTTCCCCATGGCACACACGTGGTAGGAGAAATGTCAGTACTACTTAACACCTCACCTTTTTCTCTTGACTTCAGAAGAGGGTGTTGCACGGGTAATTGAATTCTATTTGAGACAATTACAACGGAATATAAATGTACTTCAACTTTTCATCTTATGACTTCTGAGGAGGAGTCTTTTCAAAATAAGTGAGGCGATCTGGGTGGATCAAATCTGATGTTGACTATACAAGCATTGATTTGAAGCAAATCACTCTCCTTATTCAAGAATGAATAAAAGCGGGGGGTGGGGGATAAAACTAACATGGGGCCTATGAATATAATTTTCAGATCCTGACTCAGTGTTTACAATTCTTGGCCATTTCTCCAACACATAGTTCACCCCTTCAGTATGCAGATTCATCTTAATTGCCAAAAATAAGTGTTATTAATTAATTTTTGTTACAGATGTTTCTCCTTTTTCTCTCACTGAGACCCTCCTCTGGATCCTGCCCCCTCACAGCGTTGTTGTCCGTGTCCGTTGGTTACACAGACATGCATATAAGTTCTTTGGTTTATCTCCTCCCTTCCCCCCTCCTCTCCCCTGAGGTCTGTCAGTCTGATCCCTACCTCTATGTCTCTGGGTCTATTCTGTTCATCAGCTTATTTTATTCATTATAGTCCACAAATAAGTGAGATCATGTGATATTTGTCTTTCTCTGATAGGCTTATTTCACTTAGCATAATATTCTCCAGGTCCCTCCATGTCGTTTCAAAGGATAAGAGATCTTTCTTTCTTACAGCTGCATAGTGTCCCATTGTGTATATGTACCAGAGCTTTTTATTCCACTCAAAAAATTTTTTTGAAGTATATAGTTCCATTGTTATTCTGTTCCATTATTTGAATTTCTTCTTAAAAGATTAGTATAATATAAATATATAATATATATATGTTTTCTATATTGAGCTAATATGTGCTCTATAATAAAGTCATCTACACTCCCAAAATAAACTTTTAAAAAAATGGATATTTTCCCACTATCAATAAATGTACAGGTAGGTAGGTTTATTCCTCATCCAAATATATATTTTGTATTGCACGGTCATGCACATAAAAAGGCGCCCCACTGGTATTTATTTGTGTGTTAACCGCGGCCTTGGTTATTTTGAGGACTGAGTTCTGACGTGCAAGAAATGCCTGGATGTAGAGGGACTACGGCACAGGAGAACCCTGTTGACCTGTGAAATGCCTTCTCCAGGTGTCTAAGATTGTGGATGCCATTTATACGAAATTGTGTGAGGACCCTTCTCACGGGATGAAGCTCACTCTGTTGCGGGTCATCACCTTGTTGACACGCACATCGCCGAAAAAGGTCATCTTTCAGCTCATGGACTACCCAGTCCCAGCAGACAGGTAAGGCCCCTGGCCCCTGCCACAGGCTTTGCGCACGGCGCCCAGAGGTCAAGCACACCTGGATGCCAGAGGTCAGGCACACCTGGATCCCAGGTGCTTTTCTTCTTTTTTTTTTTCTGAAGGTGAATATCTACCTTTGCATCACATAGGAAGACTGTAAGGCTTCAATAAGATCACAGACATCATTCACACGCTCAGACAATTCCTGGCACACAGCAGACCATCAAGACACGATCGTTGTCAGTATTATTTCGCGGAGGCTTTAAATTGTGCCCTGCGTGTCCCACAGGAACCAACCTCTTCTCCAAGTGATAATGAGGTTTCTCCTTCACATGTGATAAAATCCACAGTGCCCTTTTCTCATTTACGAAAGACAGACGTGATCAATTTCCACCCACCAATGAAATAATGAGATAGTCAGAATTCCCAGATATCACTGGGAGTCCCCTATCCCTTAACTGTTTATTGGAAATTCACGATCTGGGCTCACAAGAAAGATTTAAGGAGAAAATAATGCTGCTGGGAGCTGCGGCTGAGACCCCGACAGGCACGGTGGAAGAGATGAGTACGTTACTTCGCTCCATTTCCACAGCGTGCACGTGGGGAAGAGAGAGCTACTTCTCTACTATCGACCGTGTAAAAGGCGGGAAGTGATACTATGGAATAGATTCGGGTTTTGGAAACGAAGGAGTCTGAATTCTACCCCAGCTACGCCACGTTTCCATAAACTGCCTGACCCTCCATTTCCTCTTCTGCGCAACGGAAAAAGTTCTTTTTAGCTTTAAAGCTGTTACATGGGTTCAATGAGTTAAGCTCTGCGAAAGGCCATCGAAAACAGCAAAATGCCAAACCATTTCTATGACCGACTTTCTTTTTCCAACGGAAAGGTTATTTTTCTTTAGGAAGCTTAACCTCACAAAGAAACCTGAGACAATCCCTGAAAACTAAAAAATCTTCATAAGGCACAGTGGCCTTCACTCGGGAACTGGGTGGAAAAGGTCGCCAGCCTCCGACGTGTGCGGAGGAGAGGGAGGTGCCCGCGCGGGTGGAGGATAACCCAGTACTGGCAAGGAAGCAGTACAAGCAGCAGGTGTGAAGGAGGACCAGAAAGCAGGATCGAGTTAGGTGAACTTGATAAAACAGCCCCCCGCAGTCTTGTGCAATAGGAGGTGAGGTAGAAAAAAATGAGGGTTAGGAGGTAAGCTACATCAGAAAAACAGAAGGAGTTCAGCTGCTGTGGCTCAGTGGTTGAGCGTTGATCCTGCACCAGGTCACCAGTTCGATTCCCGGTCAGGGCACATGCCCAGGTTGTGGGCCCGATCCCCAGTGGGGGGCGTGCAGGAGGTGGCCAACTGATGTTCTTTCTCATCAATGTTTCTCTCTCTCTCTACCTCTCCCTTCCTCTCTCTCTAATATAGAAAAATAAATTTTTGTTTTAAAAAAAACAGAGGGAAGACCTGATCAGCCAGAGGTATAACCAAGCACTAAGGGAATGGGATGAGCATACGAGATGTTGTGTCCATGTGGCTTTAAGCATGGTTCTAAGAGACAGGGGCGGTTGAGTAATGGGTTCCAGAAAACTGGGTAAGTTCCAGGGGACCAGGCCCTCACATAGGAACCTAAATGCAAAGAGAACTGAGCGGTAGGGTTCGGAACCCAGCAAGGAGTGACAAGGGACCAGGAGCATACCAGCAGAGGTCCGTAGCCGTTTTTCAAATGAGCAGTCCTAAGAATAATCCTGAAGTGTGGCCAGGTATGCAGGGAAAGGACCTAGGGGCCTGGAGGTTGAGAGGCCAGGATTCTAGTCACATCTGTGTCACTAATTAAATGTGTGACATTTGACAAGATGGCTCACTGTTCTGAGCTATTAATTTTAATTTTTTAACTTGACATTTAATTTTCTAATCTTTTAATTCATATAGTTTTTAATTTAGTTTTTTTCCATTGGTGTGTTTATTTATATATTAATTTGCATTGCCATTCCAGTGTTTAAATATTCTATTATCCCTGGACAAACTAGCTCACAAGGTGGGTAGAACAGAGTATGGGGGGAGGGGGACAGAAAGCTGTTCAGTTCTTCACATTGAGCTGAACAGGTACTTAAACAGGAAATAAGCTTGCAGGCTTTGCAGACTTTTTTTGTTTTTTAATTATTGTTGAAAGTATTAAAGATGGCCCTCCTTCTTCCGCATCGACACCCTCCTCTCCACCACACCCCCCACACCTTCACAGTACTGTTTGTCTGTGTCCACTGGTTATGCATACATGCATATAAGTTCTTTGGTTAATTTCTTCCCGCCCCTCCCCATCCCTCTTCCCTCCAAAGTTTGTCAGTCTGTTTTCTACACCCAGGTCTCTGGATCTATTTTGTTCATCAGCTTATTTTGTCCATTATATTCTACAAATAAGTGAGATCATGGGATACTTGTCTTTCTCTGACTGGCTTATTTCACTTAGCAGATTTTATTTTTTAATATTTTTTCTTTATTGATTTTAAAGAGAGAGGAAGAGAGAGGGAGAGAGAGAAACATCAATGAGAGAGAACATCGATTGGCTGCCTCCTGCATGCCCCACTGGGGATCGGGCCCACAACCTGGGCACGTGCCCTGACTGGGAATCGAACCAGCGACCTCTTGGTGCATTGGCCGATGCTCAACCACTGAGCCACACTGGCCAGGCCAGGCTGTAGTTTTTTTAATCCTCACCCAAAAATATTCTTTCATTGACCTTCAGACAGAGTCGGAGGCGGGGGGGGGGGGGCATCCGATTGGTTGCCTCTCACACGACCCCAACCAGGGCCGGGAATCACACCGCAACCAAGGTATGTGCCCTTGACCAGAATCAAATCCTCAACCCTTTGGTCCGCAGGCCGAGGCTCTAACCGCTGAGCCACACCAGCCAGGGCAGCAGATTATATTTTTATTACGGAAAACTTTCCTCTGTTTTCCCAAGACAAGAAGACCCCAAGGGGTCGTTTGAAAATGGGAATGTCCACTTGCTGCGGACTGGCGTGCAGTGTCTTTTCTGCCACAGAAAGATGCACACGCAAGGCCGCCCCCCGACCCTGCGCCACGCGGAGCGGGCGGGATTCGACCCCTGCGGTTCTCAGCACGCGGCGGGCTGTGTTCGCAGCACGTTGATACTGATGTGGCAGGCAGCCGGGTCCGAGTCCGCCGTGGCCCCCTTCGTGCTCAAGACAACCTTGCTGATCCTGAAAGGGAAGCCCGGGGAGATGCAGGACAGCTACGTGGACAGGCGGCGGTCCTCTCTCGACGCGACGAATATGATGCCCGTGGCGGTGAGCGAGGGGAAGCACCTCTTTCCCTGGTGGGTGATCCTGGCCGGAAATTCCCGCCTGCCCCGGCTTGTCCTGCTCCCTTTCAGTCCCGCTCATCCACGCATTCACCCACCTCGGATTTGCGGGGTGCCCGCTGTACGCCACTCACAGCAGGTGCTCGTGAGACCCAGAGGATGAACCAGACAGGGTGCCGTGTGTCAGGCGACAGAAAGCTCAGGAGGGATCCCGAGGGCTGTGGCGGAAAGAAAGCGACGGAGAGGGTTGAGGCAAGCTGGTCAGGGCGGGCCTCTGCGGAGGTGACATCTACCCGACACCTGCGCGAGGTGAGGGAGGGACCCTGGCAACTGTCTGGGCAGCAGCGGTCTAGACAGAGAGAAGGGCAAAGCCCCCTAGTGATGGCAGCTCCTGGTGGTCCCCGGAGGCCAGGAGGAGGAGCACTCGGGACAGGACGGAACAAGGGCGGCAGCATAGCAGATGGTCACCAGAGAGGTAGCCACCAGCCGATCACACACACTTGTCGCACTTGTGTCCCTCATTGCACATCTCCCCAGGGCCAACCCCACCATTCCCGGAGCCCACTTGGGTCTCACAGCGACACGGAAAATAATGGAGGGGCCGCACCAACGGGAGGCTGTGAGCGGGTTTCTCGGACGTGGTCAGCCCGTGGGCCGGATGGTCTGTTAGTGGCCTGGCCTGCCCCCTCGCCCTCTCCTGGCCCGGACGGGTGAAGCGCAGGGAGGAGCTGGCTACTGCTCGGCCTCGTTTCATGGCCACAGATGAAGGCGGTGCTGGGAGCTGCGCCCTCCTTGGGGACCAGCTGGCTTCCTGCTGGTCTGGCAGCGGGGCGGGGACTGCCCTCTGCAGGAGCTCACTGCCCTGCTTGGCACATCCCTGGCTCCGGATGGACTTGGCAGCTGTTATCGGGGGAAGGAACACACACACACACGGTTCAGGCTGCCTTCAAGGTGTCCTGGGTTCAGCGGGACAGCGACATCCTTGACTCTCTCCTCCCCTAGGCGTCCCAGGCCCTGTGCACGTTGCTGCCCTCTTGCTCCTACAAGAAAGCGGTGGCCCAGTTCTTCCCTCAGCTCCTGATGGCCCTCATGTTTCAACTCTTCTACAGCAGCAGCATGACCGGGGAGAAGGAGGGCAGTCTCTCGTGAGCTGGCGGTGCCCCCCGGGTTCACGGGGCGGGCACCTCTATAGTCCCGTGGGCGGTGTGTGCTCTTAGTACGTTTTTCCTTCTGTGAAGGGTGAAATGCCTTCAGCAAAGTAACTACCCTGAGTCCCCAGAAGCCAGCCAGGACCTTTGCTGAGTGTAGGTGCAGTGTCTAAAGACCCACTTCCACAGAACGTGGCCTATTCCCGCTACGACGGGCACCCCAGGGAGACAGCGCAGAGCAGCCGGGACGGGAAGGCAGACCGGGTGGATCGGCCCTGCGCCCTCTGCAGGGTGCTCTCGGGGCGGCCAGTGTGGGAGACGACATACACGGGGTGCTCTGCAGGATGTGGGCTTGCGAGAGCGGACCCTTGTGCCAGGCGCGAGGCATGGGGTTCAGCTCTTCCCTGTCCCCCGAGAGAGGACAGCGAGCCCTGCTGCCCCCTGAGAAAATCTGAGCCCGGCTGTCTGCTATTTGCCCTCATCTGGCGTGGACTCCCAGGCCAGGCGGAACCCTAAAACACAGCCCCATTCGGATATATAATCCACTCTGTCTTTTAAGCAGATACCCAGGTAAATGAGAATATGTGCTATGTATTTAAAGCATCCAAGGAAGAAAAGCGACAGACACTTTGAGCAAGAGATCACATCAGTTCACATATTTTGCTAATGAGCTGTTACGAAGCAGACAGACGAAGAGGCTGCTCAGGGTCAATCCTAGGCTGCCCACGCTAGAGCTTCAGTGGAAGCCTGCTCCCCCCCGAACCATTCATCAGGATGGAGAAAGAGCATTTAGTGGTCTCCTTCCTTTCTTTAAAAAAAAGGTGTTTTTCCTTTATTGATTTTAGAGAGAGAGAGAGAAACGTGGATGAGAGAGAACAACAATTGGCCGCCTCCTGCATGCCCCCCACTGGGGATGGGGCCCACAACCTGGGCATGTGCCCTGACTGGGAATTGAACCGGCGACCTCTTGGTGCCTGGGTCGGCACTCAACCAGTGAGCCACACCGGCCGGACGGTCTCCTTCCTTTCAAATGTCCCCTCTCCCCAAACCAGCATTCTGCCCAGTACGGATTGAAAAGGGGGGTCCCGTGTGTTAGTTACGGGAAGGCCACGGTCCGGGGTGACTGTGCTCCCCTGTGGCGTCCTAGCTATGCCCGGGACGCCCTGCGAGTTCTGCTGAATTGCTCCGGACTGCAGCAGGTGGATGTCATTCTGAAGAAGAAGAACTTCTGGAATCAGGTCTCCCAGGTGCTGTTTCACCTCCACGGGATCTACCTGGTTGCCAAGTAAGAATGGGCTCTGTCGGCACAGGGTTCTGGGTCTCTGTCTCACCGTCTCCGTCTGTCCCCAGGGAAGCCACCCTCCGACGTCCACACCCACTCCAGCTTCCCACTCTCTCCTCAGGCTCCGAATTGCCATGGGATTCCTCCTCCTCTGCTTATTGGAGGAGCTGATACTCCCCTTGCCCTTGTGCCTGGTGAAGCAGGTTCCTAACTCCCCTCTATCCACGGACAGGTTACTCTCTCTGGCACGGACCAGAGAGAGTCTGACCTTTCTCTCCTCTGTTGTTTGCTCCTTCCTGCTCTGTGCGCCACAGACAGCGATCATGGTGCTGCCTCCTGAAAGAGGTTTGAGAAAACCCGTGCTCAATGCGAAAAATGCATTTGGCAAAGTGTAATGTAAGAGGACTTTGGTTTTTCTTGTCCTAGAAAGATTTCTTTTTTTTTTTTTCTAGTTAGCCTGTCAAGTAGATAGCAAGCTTCTGATTATAGGGATCAGATTTGCTGATCAAGAATCGAGATACAGCCTGGCCAGTGTGGTTCGGTTCGTTGAGCACCACCCTTGCAGCAGGAGGTCATCTGTTCAATTCCCAGTCAGGGCACATGCCCAGGTTGCTGCTGGATCTCCAGTGGGGCGTGGACAGGAGGCGGCCGATCAATGTTTCTTTCTCATCGCTATTTCTGTCTCTCCCGCTCTCTCCTTTCCTCTCTCTCTGAAATCAATAAAAACATTTAAAAAAAGAATCAAGATACAATCTTGACAACATGACAGTCCAGATGAAGTTGTGATTGACCCAGAAAATGCATTCTACTTGGTCTCTGGGTTCCTGGGGGCTTTACAACAGCACCTTATTTGCACACAGATTTCAGGAACACATCTTGTTTTGTAGAAGTGTAGTTCACCTGCACCCTGCAAACGGCCCCCAGGTAAGAGTCACTCTGTCCTTCGTAATTCTGGATCTTCGTGCTCAAAGTACGATCCACAGACCAGCAGTCACAGCAACACCTGGGAGTTACAAATGCAGGGTCTCATGGCCCACACCAGACCTCCTGAGTCAGTCTGCACGTCAGCAAGCTTCCCCGGGCGATCTGTGCGCGCGTGAACGTTCCAGACGCACTGGGATAGAGCATCCACCTGGAGCCTTCAAACGAATGCGCGTCACGTGGTCTTTCCCAGTCCTGCCACAACCTGTCTGAGCCCCGCCAGTGTGTCAGGACAGCTCTGGGCCTGGCAAGTGCCCGGGTGTGTCATGGAGAAGGACTTTAACTCAGAGCTCACCGCCTCTTCTCCAGAGGAGCACCAACCCTCTCCTTCCTTACATCATTTAAAGGAAGGACTTGGTCTATGACCACAAAGGTGACCCGCATGGCCATCCGGGGTTGCCGAGACCCTTATTTTCACTCCCTTGGTCTGGCACTGAGGGGGTTGTGGCAGTACAGGGCATTCTGTCCTGCAGCACAGCCTGGGAGACAGCAAAGAGCAGAGGCATTAAGAATGTCAGTGACCCAGGTGCATATACTTCCCTGCAGTCTCTGTAGAATTACACTGCAGCTGCCATTTGCCTTGGACTAGGGAAGGTTAGAGAATAGCTTGGTATCTGGGTGGGACAAAATATAAGGATAACAATTCTCTCTTATCTACCACTAGCATTTACTGATACACAAAGTGTTCTTGGCTAATTCAGTGCCTCCTCCTTTACAGAACTCTCGGTGAATGTAACTTTCCGCAGTTTCCAGAAACCCTGCATTATCTCTACAAGCTCTCGGTGGAAGGTCCGAGAAGGTCAGAGGACAGTGTGATCACAGTAATTTTCCTCACTGAAGTGAGTTTTTATTAGGAGACATTGTTCTCATTTCCTTTTCCTGCCCAAACTTAACCAACACCCTGACCTTTTATCTCCCTCTCCGACAATTTCACCGCAAGTCAAGACAATGGTAGATACCAGAGGTTGCAGGGTGAGGCGGAAACACATCTGGATTATGGACTAGTTGGACCGTCAGCCTGCTCCTGGGGTTGGCTTTTGTCATTTCTGCAGGGTGCAGATTTGCACAAACACTATTTTTGAACTACCTTTCATGTACCTCTGCATGCCTATTAAAGTCTATCAAGGGATCACTGAGTTCACTAAAGATAGTAGGTAATATCTAGGATCTAAATGACACTTCAGTCTGTCTGGGGTGGGGGTGGGGGGGAACAGGAGGGCAGGAATGGGCAGATAACTGGGAGAAATAAAGAGGCAGAACTCTATTGCTTTGTATATGAATATTATACCATAAATTGTAATGTGTTCTAGAGTCAAGCAAATTAAGGAAATCCTTTTGGGTCTAACTTTAGTTTTTGCTAAATAATTAACTACCTAACTAAACATCAATTAATCAATAAGCATTAAATTCACTACTCACTGGTGATACTACCTTCATTAATTTCATACACATATGCACATAGGCGCACACACAAGCACACACATTAGGGCCTGTCTCAGGTGACTGTGAGGGTCCATTTATCCTTCATTCTTGTGGGAGCATTCACAGGGTTGCATTGTGGCGGTTTGCAAACACATTTTAATATCCAGCAAAGCACCTTCTCCTCAACTCTTCTTTTCAAAATTTCTTTTGTCTTTCCTATATGTTTGTTCCTCCAGTTAAATGTTTTAAAAACTTTGCCATGTTTAAAGGAAAAAATACTTTTGCCGAAATTATTGTAATCGCATTAGTGCTATGAGCTTCTTAGGAATATTTGATATTTTTATAATATTTTCATTTTTCTTTCTTATTCAACATTTAGTCATTTTCATATACATTTTACATGTTAATTTTGGAATTATTAAGTAGCTTATGTATTTTAAATTTTCAGTGGAATGTGGCCTTTCCATTTAGATTTTCAAGCTCATTGTTGCTGAATGTTTCGAAAAATTCAAGTATTATCTTGAATTCAGCTACTTTCCTGTGCTCTTAGAGTAATTCTAACAGTATTGTAGTTGATTCTCTTGGGTTTTCTAGTTATATGATCCTAATGTATGAAAAAATGAGGATAATATTGTTACCTGTGTTTAAATCATTACTTTTATTTTCCCGAATCATGTGTTTTTGCCTTGGCCTTTACAGTTCCATTTCGTGAACCATCTTCTCTCTCTTTTGCCCACTTACCTGTTACGACCTAAGTGTTTTTCTCAGTGAATTGTACGATTCTCTCTCTCTTCCTCTCCCTCTGACACACAACTTTGTGAGGGATAGCAAGTAACTTACGAACACAGTGCTTTGACTATACATCCTTAGTGGGGTATAGTTTAAGGACAAAATTCTTTTAAAAAACATTCACTTTTACTTGGCGGTTTATTGACATTGTATGTTGATAACATAATTTGAAACTATGGTGTGCAGTAGAAAGCAGAAAGCAGATAAGTAAATATATGAATGTTATTAGGCACCAAGTTTTCCAGTTAAGAGAAAGATGACGCAAACATAAAACTGTAATAAGGCAACATAAACTGTGTTTTATTGTATTTGAATCGACTATATCAACATTGTCGAGATGAACTTATGACTAAAAAAATAAAAATGTATTTCTTAGCTCAAGTAAAGGCCCAAAAGACATGCTATGCCCATAACAATGAGTATATTCTAGTACCCACTTCCAATGGTCCTAATTCTATTAATCACTAAAAGGAACCTTGTCTCCTTAAAGCAATGGATAATTTCAGGGAGCAAGGAAAACAGAACATGAGCCTGGGACTTGTAAGTCTTCCACAAGCAAAGAAATGCTCAGTAGATGGGTCCTTTCAAAGGACATTAGAGTCAACTTGTAGGAGCTCCTACTGGCCAAATTTGAATATCAAAAGATATAATAAATGCAAATAATTGTAATGTGTTTTAAAAAACTGTAATGCCTAAATCCTTGGTAATACTCAAAATTGGAAAGTTGGTGGGGGGGGGGGGGGGCGGGGGGAGAGGCCAGCCAGTAAATGTAGAAAGAATGCTGGAAGTAAAAAAAATAAAAAAAATTAAAAAAAAATCACCATTTTGCAAGTTCCAAGGTAATAAGTGAATGAAAAAAAATTATTAATAATTTTAAAACCATAAGAAAAGGTTGTTAGAGAACACAGTATTCAGTCGGTACCAAATCATCACCCCATAGATTAATGACCAATTACACGAGGGAAGCATGCCCTTCCCTTTTGATGCCTGGTGATGTGCACCAGAAATCTCCGTGGGAATACGTATGAGTGTTTGGAGTTTGAGGGTGACTTATGTTCCAGTTGTACTGAAAATGTCTTGATCTCGATACCTGAAGCAGAAAACACACATTGGCCTTTACTCTGCTTAGGAACGTGTTAGCTGTTTTCTTTCAGCTGCTGAATAAATTCTTCAAGGACCCATTCCCAGACGAATTTCTGGTTCTCTTCCGGAACTGGGTCAAAGACTCCAACCCCACAGTCAGCAAACTGAGCCTGCAGAAAATCGCCAGTATGGCGCCAGTGATCAATCAGGTAGGCGCGTGTGTGTGTGTGTGTGTGTGTGTGTGTGTGTGTGTGTGTGTGATTGGTGGCTGCCGGTGCCATCCCGGTCACCAGCTGAGACTTGGTGTTGCTCAATATCCTTCCTGGTGTTTTATCACTAGGGGATCTGAGTGGGCTGGAAGGAATGTGTTAAATCAATGTAGTGGCATTATCACCTAGTTCCTATCTTTCCCAGAAAAAGCATTCATCACACTCAGACTTTTTCAGCATTGTCCTACACGAACACCCTTCTTACAGTCCAAACCACACACATAAATTATTTCCCCTCCAACATACACACGTGCACGCATGTCCAGTACCACCTGTTAGCACTCCCTCAACTTTGTCTTTCTTCTATAACACGTTCCTCCTTCACCCATACGCGGTCACACTCTCCTCCTTTTTCAATGATCAGTGCAAGTCGAATTCTGATCGCTAGCAGCCTCACCAGCTATGAGCACTTCCTTCGATTTTATATCAGTGCTTCTCCACGTGTAATTCTGAACCAGCAGCATAAGCATAAGCCAAGCATAAGCATGGAAACTTGTAAGCAATGCAACTTGTCAGGCCTTAGTCCAGGCCTATGGACTCAAGACATCCCGGGGGTGGGGCCCATCCATCTGTGTTTTCAGAATCCACCAGGAGATTTTAGTACAGGTTCAACCTGAGAACCACCGTCTTATATGAGTTCTCATTGAGTTACCTGACTATATCTTACCTTCCGGGAGCGTTGACCCGAAGTGTAGCCCTATGATTTGCAACTCCCTCGTGAATTTCAAAGTGTTTTGCACAACGCTAAGAGTGTTGCTGTCCTGTAAATCACTGTTGATTTAATAGTATATTTCATAACAAATCTTTGCTTATCTATAAGCATAAGCCACAAAAATGTAAAGCCAGAGAGCACCCATGTTGCATTCAGAATGAAGTAAGCCATGGTCTACTTGCTTCAAAGTCCATGTACATGATTTTAGTAAACAGCAAGTTCGGTGTTGCCTTGTCTATTGCTCTTCCCGGAGTTATTAACACCTGAAAGGAGACTCTGTGTCACAGTCATCAAGGAGAGTGAAAGTGTTACCGGACTGAGGTTTCACATATTATCTCTTGGTAAAGACTCAACTTTCCTGCCGGACCCAGCAGCCTCTGGCTATGATTTTGGCAAATAGCACTTATTCCTTTTACTTCTCTCCAGCCTTTCTTTTTCTCCTTCGGTGTCTTGTATTCTTGTTTTTCCTTGCCTTAAATTCTGTTTGTCCCTAATCTGCAACTGACTCCCATGACCTGGCTCAGCACCCCAGTGGCTCTCACGTCCCAACAGGTTACCCTCACCCACTTTAGAGGGCATTCTGCCAGGGGTGTGTCAATAAATTGTGTTGAACCATCAGCTCAATGGAAATAAGACCAGTTTCCCTGGTGTACATACTCTCACCATGGCTGACTTCAAGCTATCCAAAGGATATGATGAAACATGGGGCTGGGAAGAGATGTACCACATGGTACATCTGTAGCTCATGGTACAGATAGAACACATGTAAATCCCCTCAAGGGCACATAAGAGTGAAAGGTGGCAAAATAAACAGGAAGTGATAAGCTTTGAGAATTTATCGCTATTGTTTTTATTTACTTCCAAGTTTATGAACTTTGATTTTTCAGCAGTGACTTCTGTTCAACAACCAGCTCACACAGTGTTTTACCACCGACTAGGTGAACCAGCTCCGGCAAACGCCACCACGTGCTCTCCAGAAGCAGAGGTGTGCGTGCCAGACGCTGGCTCGAGCCTCCTTCTCCTTCCCCAACCCCACCATGTTCCTCCTTTTCTGTGTAGATAGAAAATATGTCCAGCATAGTCTTATCCATCCTGGAGGCCTTCGTTTCCAAAGACAAGACTGTGATAATCCGGGCCTTGCTTACCCTTCGAAGACTTTTAAACAAACTGGACAAGGTGACCTACTCATCCCTGTGTACCAGAATTGCTTCCAGCTACTGCCCGCTGATGGATCATGTGAGTTACAGTTAGAGGTGCGAGCTCCTTAGGTTTGATAGTTCAGCTGAAGCCCCCGCTGAGGCAATGATATTATATCCCAGAACAAGTCAACTGAAGGCAGTCATTTTGTGCACCATGTCTTGTCACGATCACAATATCAGTCAGGTAAGTACTGTCTTTTTTTTTTTTTAACTACATTATGGGGACCTGAAAACATCTACCCAGAAGACAAGAGAATGAAAGAATCGCCTCTGTCCTTGGATGAAAGAAATTGTAGCGTAGTGGTTCTATATTGGTTCACCCTGGATCTGCACTTCCTGGGTTCAAAGCCTGTCGCGGACTAGCTGTGACATCTGAGCAGGTGATTCAGTACCCCACCGGTAAGAGAGTGTGGCAGGTGTCCTGTGGGGGTTAGAGATGATGTAGAGTGCCCCAAGTGGGTGTGTTGTCATCATATAAAACTTTCAGATAAAAAGTATCTCATCAGAAAGTTGTGTGTTTTAAAAATTCTCATTTTGTATGGTAAATGTGTTGGATGACAGTAATTTATTTTAGTAAGTACAAACATTTTGGTATGCCATGGGGAATCTATTTATTTTTGAAGACTTTTGGAGTGAGTTGTTTGTGAACCAGACAATTATTTTATCACAAATTATCTTGCCAAATTTTATAAGTTCTTAATTGTTCAGATTTCATTGAAGAAGAACACAGTATTATTAGATCACAGGAAGATAAAATTTAGCGGCAAAAAAAAATTTTTTTAAGGACATAATGATGACAATAGTAATAATAATAGTGGCTGAAATTTATTGAGAATTTGCTTAATGCCAAGTATTATTCTAAGGGACATGCATTATCACATATAATTCTCTAAACAACTCTGTTACTATTATCCAGCCAACATATAAGACTGAAGCAAAGAAAAGTGAGTTTTGGCCAAGTTCACATAACTAATAACTATGTTACCATGTTTCCCATTTTAAAAGTAAAAAAAAAAAAAAAAATGATCAAGTTTATTCAATGTATGGGGGACAAAACAGGGATTTCAACACATACCAGGGTACTCAAAAGCTGTTTCCACTGGTCTTACACATAGCCTTTCAGAGGCTAGCATGTCTTCCTGCAGCTCAAGGATACAAACAGGTAACCCACAGGTGACTGCAACCTGCAAGTGTGTATGTTTAGCCCTCAAACAGAATACATTTGATATTTTTAAATTGGGAGATTTCTCACAGAAATCTGAATTGTGAATGAAATGTCAGAAGATCTCAGAACAATGGACCCCACAAACCCACTTGGCAACAGTCTGTGGGAGCTGGGTGTCCTTGAGAGAGGGGCCAGGGTCCTCTTCTGTTCATGTTCCTTTACTTTCCTGCTCTCCTTAAACACTCCCCACTCTGTTCATTTTTTAATTTTTTCTCACCCGAGGACACTTTTGCATCCATCTTCAGAGAGGGAGGGAGGAAGGGAGGGAGGGAGGGAGGGAGGGAGGGAGGGAGGGAGGGAGGGAGGGAGGGAGGGAGGGAAGAAGAGAGAGAGAGAAACATGGAGGTGAGAGAGACACATCGAGTGGCTGCCACCCACATGACCTCAACCAGGCCTGGGGACAAACTGCAACCAAGGTTCATGCCCCTAGCGGGAACTGAACCTGGGCCTCTCTGGTCCGCAGGCCGATGCTCCAACCACTGAGCCAAACCGGCCAGGGCCCTACTCTATTCATTTACATCACTGTCCAGCCCCTGCCACCTGATTTAATTACCAGTGCTTTCGGTTTAGACTTTGATAGCCATTAATTACCCCTGGGAAGGAACATATGAAACCATAGTCATTTGTATTTCGTTGGGCATATATCTGATATATTCCTGAGAATAGAAAGGAAAAGATTTTTTTTTAATGAAGTCATAAACATTTCTTAAAAACTGGAAGGTAATATGATATTTTCAAAAACTGACCTCCGACTTGCCATTTTTCTCTTGGAATCTTTACAATCCAATCAGCATTCTCTTTGGCATCAGCGAGCCCCGGGAAACCTGGGTCCATGTCAGGAGGCCGATGCTCCATTGGCACTCCCTGGCCACCCTGCCTTCGGGTACAGCCTGGCTACTCTAAGAATCTTTACAGCAATTACTCCAAGTTAGACGGGTGCTGCAATTTCTATCTTTAATACATTATTAAACACTGTCTTCCTGAATTTAAGGGACTTACTACAGTGATACCTCGGTTCTCGAACGCCTCGGATTTCGACCAAATCGGTATTCGACCAGGAGATTCGAGAAACTTTTGTCTTGGAATCCGAACAAATATTTGGAACTCGAACTTCCGAGATGAGCCGAGTTGAGCCGAATGGCGTTCATTCGGCCCAGCGCGCCTTGCTCGCGTCATCAGTGTGAGTGCAGAGAGAGAGTCACGCTTTGTGGAGAGAGTCACGCTTTACACTGAATTGAACCCTTAGACATACTGTACACTTTTATTTCTTGTTGAGACTTATGTTTTTCTACATATTATATACAAATTAGGCCAGTAAATGGGCATTTTCTGGGGCTTGGAACGAATTAATCCAGTTTGGTTTCATTGCTTCGGTTCTCGAACAATTTGGTTCTCGACCGTCCTCCTGGAACGAATTATGTTCGAGAACCGAGGTATCACTGTATTCACATTTTAAATGCAGTCTGATCTTTGGTGAGCACATCTCACTTAAAACTGAACCAAGAGCCGGCTACTTAGATAGACCCAAGGTGAAGCTTTGCTAAAAAATAACTTGTAATGATTTCATATGTGTGTATATATACATATACATATATACTATACACACTTATGTAGCATAGATACATACACATGTATAAATAGATATCCCACTGTTTAAAGCAAGAGGCCTTAGAAAGATCCGAAAATGTGGCTTTTCTCTGCTCAAATCACAGAGCGACGGAGGCATCCGAAGCCTGGCCATCCGGCACTTTGGTGAACTGCTCAATGACATGTGTCAGTACACATGGATGCTGAATGCTGTGTTTCTTGACGCCCTGGTGCCGTTGATCCTGTACCTGGAGGATACAGAGACCAGAGTCGTGACGGTGTGTCCTGCGTTCTTGTTCCTCTTAGTGTGGCAGAGACGCGCCACGTTCCAGGTAACACTGGGGCAAGAGATGCTCATCGACTGTGTTCGGCTTTGCAGGCGTGTAAACACACACTGTCCATCTGCGCCTCGCAACTGAAGTGGTCGATATCGCATCTGCTCATGGACCAATATTACAATTTTGAGCTGGTGGTGCTCAACATCTGCAACGATATCGTAAGTGGCTCTTCAGTGTTTCCTAGCGTGCGTTACAGGAAGAACATGTAAGGGTCTCCAAAGCGAAGGCAAGGGGGCCAGGACAAGGGTGAATCTTGGAGCAGGAAGGCAAAGGGAAAAAATACTACTAAATGAGCGATAACAGCTAGGGCTGGAGGCCAGAGAAAATGAACGATTTCTGTTTCCTCTTCCTCAACATTGATCATCTACCTAACCTTCTTCCTCCAACCACCCACCTGGAGATTTGGATGGGTGTAAAGATAGGAGCAGCTCTGCAGATCACAGAAAGGAAAACCGGAAATATCTGGCCCCTGCCTAGCGAGCTGGTCCTCTGAGCACCCGCACGCGCTGCAGGGACAGATGGGCGCATGCTACCCACGGGCTGGGAACACACGGTTGGGTTTGGGAATCGTATAACTGACTGAAAGATACCTGCAAAATGAAAAGTTCATCCATAGAAATCTCACGTTTTAAACAGGACTTTATTTGGTGTAAGCAACCAGGTCCTTTGTTCTAGAAGCCTCTCGGAGAAGAAGCAAATGCCCTTTTTCAAATACTGAGAGTGTGTTCCCCCTCTTTATTCTCAGTTTATTTCTCACGGGGGCTACCTTACGGACCTGATATCTGATAGCTTAGGGTTCCTAAGCAGTTCCCGAGTATACCTGAGGAGAGCATCCGTTATCTTAATAGGTAAGTGAAATTCAACTCTCATGTCCGAATTTGTCTGAAAGGGTACGGCAGGAAGTCTTCCTTGAAAAAAATTATAAATCTTTTTTTATTCTGATGGCCAGCACCCATCATGGTGAGCCCTGTGACAAATAAAGGTTAATGTGTGTGATTAGAATAAAGTTCTGTTTTACAGTACACAGTGAGTGTAGCTGTGTGACTAAATTGTTATGCAAAGTATACGTATTCAACAAGGATGATTTCCAAATTTAACCAGACGGCTTGCCGCTGCTCACTATTCCCCTTCACGGTTCAAAAATCACTACCCAGGGAATAAGAATATGTCTGAAAATACAAACACCATCTTCAACAAAACTTGTAACCACAACTCTTAACAGACGAGGATGAGCTATCAAATCCAGTAAAGTTTCAAAAAAAAAAAGTAGGTTTGGCTGCAATGCTGGAAGATTCTGAGAGAAGACAACTAAAGCTTTCGATCTTAGACAAACCTGAAACCCTGCCCAACGAGTTTTTTCCCACTAGATTCTCACCATGAAGATCAAAATTGACAGGCCTTTATTAGGAATGACAGGAAGTGAGCTCCCAACTTGGTAATGGATTTCCACTTGACCCTACTTGGCACCAAGGGGTAGAGAGACAAGAGGCCTCAGGAAATGTACAGTCTCATCATCGTGGAGGGAGGAGACTGTTGGTCCAAGTAGAAGACAAACTGAATTATGGTCAGTACCAGAGCCGCAATCTGTGCTGGTCAGAGTAGAGCAAAGGAACGTACACACACACACACACACACACACACACACAACCAGGGGTCACAAGAACTTTATTTCAAACCAGAAAGAACTGCTACTCTGCATTCTACCTTGGTACTTTCCACAAACCATCCTCTGCATATAACTATTGCAAGATCCAAAAATAAGTAATTTTTTAAAAAGGAAATGGCATTGTCTTTCTACAGAGGTGTTTCCGGGGGCGGGGGGAGGAGAGAAAAAAAGAAAGAAGAACAAATTCCACAAAATGTTTCTACAGAGCGGATGAAAATCATGAAAAAATCTCCATGAATTTAAAACATTTTTTTTTAGTTCTCACCCAAGGATATTTTTCTATTTATCTTCAGATAGAGTGGGAGGAGGCAGGGAGGCAGGGAGGGAAGGGAGGGAGGGAGGGAGGGAGGGAGGGAGGGAGGGAAGGAGAGACATCAAAGCGAAAGAGACACATCAACTGGTTGCCTCCCGCAGGACCCCAACCAGGGCCGAACTCCACCGAGGTACGTGCCCTTGACCGGAATTGAACCCACAACTCATTGGTCGGTGGGTCAATGCTCTAACCACTGAGCCAAACCGGCCAAGACTAAAACATTTTGAAATAAAGATCTGAAGCATACATAGAAACACACAGTTGATGGGGTAATGGGAATACATGAAAAATAAGTTTTCAAAGTATAGGGGCCACGTATAAGAAAAAATATGTAACCATCACACAAGAAAACTGCACTAAAACCAGCAGAAGAGGACATAGATATTGTTGATGACCCGGTAAGGGACAGGGAGTACAGGGTTGAGAAATGCAGGCAAAAGGAAATGAAAACCAGCCACAAACAGTTTGAAAAATTAAGGAGAAATGATAGATACGAAAGATTGAAAAAGAGATGAAAATACGCATAAAGAAAGAAAAAAATGAACAATGAGAACAGAAAAGAATTAAAGATATAATTTAAGAAATTTTTTTAAAGACTTGATTAAATATACTGATGTTAAGTAATATTTCAATACATATTTTATAACGAACACAACAATAAGACATTTCCTAATAAAGTTATGGAACTTCAGAGTTAGAGAATTCTTTGAGAGTTTTGGCAATAAAAAGTCACTTATAAGTTAAACAATAAATCTGGCCTTTGATCTCTCCTCTTCAATATTCTAAAATATAGTAGAAGAACACCTACAAAATCCTAAGTGGGAAAAAATGTGACTGAAAAATTATATCCAACTATTAAGATAACAGGAAAACATTTTTGAAAACACAAGAACTCAAAATAAACACAAGAACTCAAAATCCTTCTTGAAGAAATCATTAAAGGATGGAATTCAGCCAACTCACTCAGGAATGAATGGCTACATTATTGCAAAAGGACATGCAGTATATACTTACCTGCGGGGACTCCACTATTTTTGCTTTTCCCCAGGCCTGGACAGGCTGGCCTCTGTAGTCTACAGCCCCCCAAGCTCCCTTGCCAGTTTGCTTCCAAGGGTATGCTTAATATTCGGTAATAATTGTGACAGTGTTACTCCCAAACTGTCTCATCAAGAATCCCCACTGCACACCTGTTGAGAAATACTGACCGAGTTCAATTCAATTGTAAATAAAAATGCCAACAGGTAACTTCACAGACCTTGACAAGTCAATTCTAAATGTAGGCAGAAAATGAAAGGCCAAGGTACTCCTGAGGAAATGATGTGGGCTTGTTGTCTCAGCAGGTATAAAGATTTATTATAAAGTTACAGAATGAGCCCTGGCCAGTTTGGCTCAGCGGTTAGAGGGTCGGCCCACGGTCCAGAGAGACCTGGGCTCGGTTCCCACTAAGGGCATGTACCTCTGTTGCAGTTTGTCCCTGGCACCGTTAGGGTGGTGCGGGTGGTAGCCACTCAATGTGTCTCTCTCACATCAATGTTTCTCTTTCTCTCTCCCTCCTGCTCTATCTGAAGATAAATGCAAAAAAGTCCTCGGGTGCAAATAAAAATAAATAAATAAAATAAAGTTACAGAATGCTAGACATTCTGTTACTCACTCAAGCAAAGACAGACAGAACTGGGAAACAGAATAGAAAGCCTAGAAACAGATCCACACATGTTCAGCGACCCTGCAACACAGTAGGAAAAGGAGTTTTTTCTCTTAATGGTGCTGGGTCAGTTACATAGGTACATGAGAAATATCTTGACACCCTTGTGGCTTTGGCTCAATGATTAGAGCATTGGCCTGAGGACCAAGGGGTCAAGTGTTCAATTCCCAGTCAAGGGCATGTACCTGGGTTGCAGGTTTGATCCCCGGCCCCGGTTGGCATCATGCAGGGAGGCAATCAATTGATATGTCTCTCTCGCATCAATATTTCTCTCTCGCATCAATATTTCTCTCTCTCTCTCCCCTTCTCCCTTCCTCCCACTCTATCTTAAAAAAATCTATGGAAAAATGTCCTCGTGTGAAGATTAACAACAACAACAAAAAAGATATATAGATATAGATATAGATATAGATATAGATATAGATATAGATATAGATATAGATATAGATATAGATATAGATATAGATATAGATATACTGTATGCCGTATAATTCCAGTTGGATCTACAATCCAAAAGTGTAAAAGGTAAAACCATAAAGCTTCTAGAAGCAAATATAGGAGAAACCTTTATGATATTCTTGAGCAGGCAAAGATTTCCTAATAGGACCTAAAAACTTCACTAACCATAAATAGAAAAGACAATAAATTGGACTACATTAAAAATAAAGACTTATGTTCATTTAAAAACAAAACAATATAAATATGAAAGTTTGGCTACAGGGTAGGAGAAGATATTTGTAACATGTGTAACAAGGAAAAAGATTAGTATCCAGAACTTTTTTTTAAATGTCTACAAATAAATAAGATGAAGACAGGCAACTATATATAAGAACAGGAAAGAGACTTACTTGAATGAGCATTTCACAAAAGAAATATCCAATGGCCAATAAATATACAAAACTCTTATGAATCATCACACACACACACAAAAATGAATTAAAATCACAGTGTGGCCCTGGCCGGTTTGGCTCAGCGGTTGGAGCGTCGACCTGCAGTCCTGAGAGACCCGAGTTCGGTTCCCACTAAGGGCACGTACCTCGGTTGCAGTTTGTCCCCGGCCCTGGTTGGTCGTGCGGGTGGCAGCCACTCGATGTGTCCCTTTCATGTCGATGTTTCTCTCTCTCTCTCTGTTCCTCTCTCTCCCTCCCACTCTACCTGAACAAAAAATGGGAAAGTGTCCTCGGGTGAGGATAAAAAAAAAAAAAAAAAATCCCAGTGTGATACTATTACCAAACCCATGAGAATGATTCAAAAGAAAAAGACTAACAGCGGAGAGTGTGGAGCAACGGAAACATCCATACACCAACGAGGGAAGTAAAAACTGCTACAACCACTTTACACTGGTAGTAACCACTGAAGGTGAACATAGTATATCCATTAGTCAGTAAATCCAGTGCCAGCTATATACCAAACAGCAATGCATATAAATGTACAGCAAAATTCATGTACAAGAATGCCATAGAACACCATTATTTGTGATAGCTCCAAATTGGAAACAACACATTGACCAGCAGCCGCAGCAGCGTGAACGTGCTGAATTCATAGGACGGAATATCGCATAGCTGGGTTCAGCAAACTCTCTAGACGTCCCAGTAGTACCTATTTTAGGCCTAGAGTACCATATGGTCTACGTCAGCAATTTTCAACGGGTGTGCCATGAGAATTTTTAAAACTTGCAATACCTGACTATTTCATTGGGGGCACTGACCTCTTCCCTTCGGTTGTCGAATTTTAAAAAATGACGACAGCCAACACAATAGCCGTCCGGTGTAAATGAATCAAAATGATACCTATTTTTTTTGTCAGATCGGCAAAAAATACATATTTGGGTGTGCCGTCGAATTTCAGTAATTAGTTTACATGTGCGGTGAGAAAGGTTGAACATGGCTGGGCTGTCACAAGCGCTCAGCTCTGCTGGCGTGGGCGGACGCAGCCAGAGATGACCCGTGCACAGATGAGCCCCTGAGCATGGCGGTGTTCAAGAAAACGTCATCGGCCAACCTCTGCCACGTGGTAGTGAAAATAAATGAACTATGGCTCTACTAGAGAGCATAGACAAATGTCAGATAAAGTTGAGCAAGAGAAGGCGGACACAAAAGAATGTATTCTGAGGGAGGATGGAGCAGATTGGGAAAGAGCTTGGGGAAGGTTCTGGGACGCCAGTCATATTCTATTTAGTGACCGAGGTGGCAGCCAGAGTGTTCACCTTGTGGCCCTTCATTGATCTGTGCGGTTAGGACGTGTGCATGTTTATACACATATTTTTCAGTAAATAGTTTTATTAAGTTAATAAGTATAGGAGAGCACCCAAGGATAGGCTAGAGATGCTTTGCTTTGAAGGCGGCAATGAAGGTAACTAGATAACGTCAGAGCACGTGTTTTCATAACGTATGTTGGGGCTTTCTTTCGTGCATAGGGTACTTGACATCATTGGGTGGCCATCTACTGCTCAGAGATGACATTGAAGCCATTCTTGAGGGTAAGTGTTGAAGGCATAATGAGATCTTCATGCATAGGTCTAAATAAATTCACGACTTGTGATTCTGTTCACATGAGTTCTATAACAGCGCTGGGGATGGGAGGAGGGTGGTGGTCAGGAGGGGATCAATGGAAGAACTGGGTTAAGGGGCACCCTTTTTTCCTTTTTATTCTCCTTCATTCATTCTCATTCTGCGTGTGTGCGTGTGTGTCTGTCTCTCTCTCTGACTTATCATCTTAGAGCCCCTAGGAACAACAGAGAGTTGAGAACTGATTCACTCATTCATGCAACAGAGATTTTTTTCCAGCTCTAGTCTAGCTGCTGGGGATACGGCAGCAAACAAAACCAAGCTCCTGCCCTCAGAGTTTAAGCCTTAGGAGCTGGCAATGTGCATCCGCAGCTACAAGCGGGACTTAAGAAGGGTAGTGTTCATTCTATCAAAATGTCGGGATCTTTGGCATCTCTCTCTCAGCCTCTGTTTCCCCACCAGGATCAGAATTACAAACAGGTGAGGTAGAACAGTTTCAGATTTACAGCAAAATTGAGTGGAACGTCCAGAGATTCCCCATACACTTCCTGCCCCCGCACATGCGCAGTCTCCCCGTTATCGACATCCCCCACTACGTGGTACCTTTGTTAGGATTGATGAACCTACATGGACACATCGTTTTCTTCCTTTTTCTTATTCATGTATCCACTCGTTTATTCAGTACGTATTTCAGAGACAAATTCTCGATGTCTCTCCAAACCTTTTTCTTCTTTCTCTCCTCCTGCTCCTGTCTCTCTCTCTCTTATCTAAATCTGTCCCCTTTCCCCCCCTATTTCTTTCTTTTTTTAAAAATCCTCACTGGAGGATATTTTTCCATTGGTTTTCAGATAGAGCGGGAGGGAGGACGGAAGGAAGAGAGAGAGAGAAACATCGATGTGAACGTGACACATCGATTGGGTGCCTCCCGCACACACCAACCAGGGCCAGGGATTGAACTGCAACTGAGATACACACCCTTAACGGGAATCGAACCCTCAACTCTTTGGACCGCAGGCTGACTCTTTAGCTGCTGAGCCAGACCAGCCAGGGCTTCCCTATTTTTTTTTTTTTTAAGAAGGAAAAAAATTATTTCCTGCAAGCCCAGGATCTGTAAATAATCAGATTAGTGTGTCATTATATACACAACCCCAGACATTTTTTAAAGAATGTGTCACTACATGCTTATTTTCAAAGTGATCATAACTTTTATAGTATTTTCACGTATTCACATATCACAGACCTCTTTCCTGCCAAGAATTATGGATCGACATCCTCGTGTTGACGTGCGTGTGCTATTTCATTTTATGACATTCCCAATTTTTAAGTCTTTCCCTATTAATGGACATTTAGACTGAGTCCAAGTTTTTTCATCATTACGAGCCGTACTGAGCGTACTGAGCCTCTCCATGGATATATGTGTATGCTGTCCAGTAGGATGCTCAGCACAGAGCAGACCTTCAATAAAGGTTTAGGGAATATTTCCATTTTTCTTTTAATAATATGTCTGGATAAAACTTCCTGGACGCTATTAGTCAAAGGAATAACAGTTGGGGGCGGGGGAGGAGAAGATGGAGGGGAACACTGGCCGGTGAGGCTGTTGAGAGTCAGAGCACCTCAGACTCGGAGACAGACGCCTTGGACTAACGGGGGCCCTTCTGCTGTTACAGTGGTCGACCGAGTGCTCCAGGATGAGGACCCCGTGGTCAAGGACTTGGCGAAAATAACCCACGACCTTTTAAAGAAAGAGGCCCATAAACTGACCTCCTCGGTCATTAAACAGAGCTTCCGAAGGCTGTTCAGCTTTATCTATATGAAAAAAGCGAAGGCTCTTTATAATTATAACCTCAGCGAGCACAGGACAGAAAGTTCTGTTGAGATGGAACAAAACCAGGAATTAGGAAGACATTTTGTGCAGGAATAAGACACTTACCAGTGCCTGGGAGCCCGGCTCGGAAGAGGAATGGTTTTCCTTTCCCTCCTGATACCCTACGTCTATCTGTAGATGCTTTTCTGAAGGGTGCCAGGGGCCAGGTCACCGTACCTTCTTCACTGTCTTCGAATACAGAAATCTGTTGCCTCTCTAGGTCTGACGGTGGTCAGAAGGCTTAACTCATCAAACCCACTAATAAAATTTAAAAATCATATAAGCAAAGTGTTTGGTGAGAAGCTCTTGACTTAAGCATCTAAGGAACACCTTCTAAGGACCAGACAGTGTGCCGGGCAGTGGGCACATTGGGATAACACCGACAAGGAAGGTCACCGTCTAGTGATGCTCAATCTGGGTATTTCCATCCTGCTGGGATGAATCCCTGCCATAAGGGAGTCTTCACAAAGGAGAAAATGGAACTCGCAAGGGGAGAGGGAGGGAGGCAGGGAACTGTTTGCCAGGAGGCACAGACACTGAGGCATGAAGAATGGGGGGAAGGTGGAGAGTTTGTTGTGGATCCAAGTGGGTAAGATGGGTACCAGGGTGATCAGGGTGATCACTCTGTAAGTCACATACATGTCTAATCACCGGGGTGTGCACCTGAAACTAATATAATATTATATATATGTCAATTGTCATTAAAAGAAAAAATTATTAAAAAGAATGGGGAGAGCTGAGACCCAAGGGGAACGTGATACGGTGCACCTGACCTTACACTTTTTGAACTGAGAACGTGAGCGTCAATCACAGCGGCTTCCCACTGCCGCCAGCACCCACTGCAACATGTTGCTCTGGTTTGTAAGAAAACTGCTACATAATGTTGGTCTTCGGAGACCCTGCTTGGCTGAAGGGCACAGGCTCATGTTCCTCTTTCCTCCCAGACTCCCGCCCAGAAGAAACCACTCGGCCACAGGAAACTACTTCGAGTGAGATGAAAGCCCCCTTTCCTCTGTCCGGTGTGGTGGCTTCCTAACGGGTCAACTTGGAGTGCGCGCACACTCTCGTCGCTCCGGGGGCTCCCTCCCTGGTGTGGCCCAGCAGCCCCCGCCTCTCCCAGATCCTCCATCAGCGGCTCTGACTTCCGGGCCAGGTGGGCTGAGCTCTGCTGACAAAGGACACCAGGCCTCCTGTTTGACACCAAGAGCAGCATCATCGATGATGGAGGCAGTGGGAGACGGGCACAGTCCCAAGCTTGTGGGTTCCACCTTGCTCTCGCTCTCCAACCTGACACCCACCCTCCCTTCCCATCCCAAGGACCTGCCCCGTAGACTTCAAGTCCAAGCAGCGGGTGTGAAGTTGGCAGCTTGCAGAGACCACTCATTGTCGTTCACAGTCAAATCCTGGTTCTGCTTCTCTGGTTGAATCCTGATGGATGTATCTGAGATGTATTTTCCAGGCCCCTTTGATCGAGCAGCTGGGTGTGGCTCGTGTGTGTGTGTGTGTTTTCCCCTTAACACTCTGTATACTTTTCATTGCATTTATCAGATTGTGGTGAAATTACTCATGTCCTTCTCTTTCTGCCCCACAAAACTGGAGTTTCTGGAAAGCAGATGTTGTATCTTACACTTGGTTGGGTACTTGAGAACTCACAGCCTCCAGCACTTAATACATGCTCGGTGAATATTGCCAGATGACCCAACTCCCAGCAGGACAGATTGCCCTTGTACTTGAATAATAAAAATGTTCAGATGTTTATGAGTATTGCTATTAAAAATAACGAGTGGCTCATTGGATTGAGCATTGTCCCGGGGACTGAGCAGTCCCCAATCGATTCCGGGTCAGGGCGCATGCCCAGGTCTCGAGCTCCATCCCCAGTGGGGGGCATGTAGGAGGCAGCCAATAGATGGTTCTCTCTTACATTGATGTTTCTATCTCTTTCTCCCTCTCCCCTTCTCTCTCTAAAAATCAATCAATAAAAAAATTTTTAATAATAATAATAAAAATAATGAGAGAATGGATTATTTGAATTTATCCTTTACTCCATATGATTTCATATTACCCTGAGGTCCCAGACTTCACTTTTCCAAATCAGGGCAAATTTACTTTTCTACCTTCTAAACCAGCAGGCTGTCTCGTGTGATAGGCTGAATAATAAGCTCCCCGAAGACATCCAATCCCTGATCTCCAGAATCTGCGAATCTGTTACCTTCCATGGCAAAAGGAATCTTCCAGATGTAATTAAATTAAGAAATCTTGAGATGGGGTAGGACCAATGTGATCGATCACAGGGCCTTTCTAAGAGGAGAGTGGGAAGTCGGAGAGAAAAACGATTCTTGACGATGCTGCGATGCTGGCTTGGAGGATGGAAGTGGGAGTCCCGAGCCAAGGAACGCAACTCTGGAAGCGAAGAAGGCGAGAAAACAGATTCCCTGCTGGAGCTTCCGGAGTGAGCACGGCCCTGCCCACACCGTGATTTCAGCCCTTTGAACACGACTTTGGGTGTCTGACCTTCGGAACTGGAAGAAAATGTAGTTGTGTTGCTTTAAGCCACTCTGGTTGGAGCAGCAATTGGAAACTAATACAGTTAGATCTCGACAAAACAAGCATCACGTCCCCCTCCAACAATTAAATACACACCCAGAGACATAGCCCCGAATACAGTGGACCTCACAGGAATTTTGAGGGTTCTATAAAAGCTGATATTCCGAAGGAATCTGAGTCGCAGAGAGGTTGGGTTAATCATCACACAACTTAGGGAGAGGGAGGTAGTGGTACATTTAAGCTCGGAAACATCAGCCCCAGGGCTCGCAATGACCACCCGAATAGACATTTTTCCAAAGAAGACGTACAGATGGCCAAAGCCATGGGGAAATGTGCCCCGCACCCCTAGTCATCAGGGAAGTGCAGATCAAAACCGCAATGAGATATCACCTCACACCTGTCAGACTGGCCATTATCAAAAAAGGCGAAAAAATACCAAGTGTTGGCGAGGCTGTTGAGGAAAGGGAGCCCTGCTGCATTGCAGGTCGGACTGCGAACCGGTGTGGCCCCCACAGAAAGCGGTCTGGAGACGCCTCAGAAATGGAGAGGGAACTACCATGTGACCCAGCGATTCCAGTTCCGGGAGTCTAGGCAAAGAAAAAAAAATACTAATGTAAAAGAGATCTGCACCTTTATGCCTGTTGCAGCATTGTTCAGAATAGCCAAGATGTGGAATAAATCTAAGTGTCCATAAATCGATGAATGGATAAAGAAAAAATATGCAGTGTTTATGGTTACCAACCCCAACCAAATCTGAATCCCGGATGTGCCTTTTTTAGCTACTATGACTCTATTCCTAAAGCATTATCAGCCCCAAACTTGGGATTTGTAGTAAATTTTAGTAAGAAACTGCCAGACTGTATTGCAAAGTGGCTGTACCAGTCTACATTTCTCTCCCCACCTTTTTTTTTTTAATCCTCACCCGAGGATATTTTTGTATTTATCTTTAGATAGAGTGGAAGGGAGAAAGGGAGGGAGAGAGAGAGAAATATCGATGGGAGAGAGACACATCGACTGGTTGCCACCCACACAACCCCAACCAGGGCCGGGGACAAACTGCAACCGAGGTACATGCCCTTAGCAAGAACCAAACCCAGGACTCTGGTCCACGGGCCAACTCTCTAACCACTGAGCCAAACCAGCCAGGGCATTCTCTCTCCACTTTTTAATCCCCACTGCCAACCAGCTAGATCCAGTTATCATTACTCCTATTAAAACAGGCTTCTGGCCCTGGCTGGTTTGGCTCAGCGGTTAGAGCGTCGGCCTGCGGTCCAGAGAGACCCGGGTTCAGTTCCCACTAAGGGCACGTACGTTGGTTGCAGTTTGTCCCCGGCCCTGGTTGGTCATGTGGGTGGCAGCCACTCAATGTGTCCCTTTCACGTCGATGTTTCTCTCTCTCTCTCTCTCTCTCCCTCCCACTCTATCTCAACAAAAAATGGAAAAAAGTGTCCTCAGGTGAGGATAAAAAAAAAAAACAGGCCTCTGTCACAGTCCATTGTACACCAGATTACTCTGCTGAAGCCAGCCTCTAAACCCATTACTCCTGCCCAAAGCCTTCGTTGCTGCTCTTTCCCCATTTAAATCACGTGCAAGGCATCTCCCAATATGGCTTAACCTACTTTTCCCGTTGTACTTATATCTATGCTCCGGATTAACTGTATGATTCACGGTTTGATCCCTAAAGAAGCCCATCTTTGTGTCTAAATCTAAATCTAAACTCTTTCCTCCTGGGTCAGACTTTGTACTTGTTCCCCTGGAGAAGGCTGAGCTATGGGTCCAATGGCCACAAAGGGTGGGTTTGGGTAGATCTCGAGAACAGCCATCCTTTTGCAAAGAGCCCCAGGTGAGGTTATTACAGTGTCTTCACTATCCGCAGACATGGGAGGTGGGTATGAGAGCCTCAGAGTAGCTCAAGGCTTCAAGAGTCTCAGCTTCAATGAAAGGCTTGATGAGGCTGGTGATACAGCCTATGTCGTGATCCTAAACCCTGCAAAGGTCAGCTTTGTTCTGATTTCAAGCAAGGTTAGCGCTGAAGCTACAAGAAATAAGAGATTCTTTTAGATTCGCCACAGGGGCTCTCTGGCTCTCTGCCCGTGCGTTGCACTAAGAGTCTGAAGACTGGAGTTTCTCCTTTTCATCTTAAGTGCTTCCGCGTGCCCAGAGGTAGCCATCCCTCCCACTGATGTTGCGTTGTGGTCATCGTTGTCACACAGGTAAGTGCCTCAGCCACGGGTTCCCCAAGGCCCTTGCTTCCGTGGGTACTTCCTCGCAATCAGACACCGGCGATGATATGGTTAATATGTCGTAGATTACTGCATCCTGATTCACTTTTGCCGAGGAGCTCAGCAGTACATTCAAGTCCAAGGACATGACCAAACCAACTCCCAAGTCTCATTTCTGAGTGTCATTGCCATGGACCATTTCTGGTGCCAACTTCTGTATCAGTCGGTGTCCAGTTAGGAGATAGACACCTCCCTGATGATTTTAACATAGAAAGTGTCACATTAAACACT